AATGCTCAGTGGAGGCGCTGAGAGGGTGGCACACCTGGAGAGGACACAGAAGCTCCAAACTCCCTCCCCAGGCCTTACCCTATGCACTGACCTGGCTGTTCCTGAGTTGTATGCTTTATAATATAACCTTGTAAGTACAAACTGTTCTTCTGAGTTCTGAGAACTGTTTTAGCAATGATGGAATCTTAGGAGGGGATCATGGGAAATCCTGATGTGCAGAAGTTGTGTAGCCTGGGGACCCACTATTTGAAATTGGCATCTGAAATGTTGCCAGTCTCACAGGACTGAGCCCTTAACCTGTGTGGTCTGTGCTAACAGCAGGTAGTCTGAGAAGTGAAGCACTGAGAATAGTAGCAGAGAATAAATGGGAGATTTTTTTTCCCAAGGAATAATAAGATTCTGGCTATATTTTTGGAAGTAGGGCCAAAATTACTTATTAATGAGTTACATATGGGGTATGAGACAAACAGAGGAGTCAAAGATATCTCCAGACAATGGACAAGGAATATTCCTTTCCGGAGACTAAGTGCAGGGCTGAGAAAGAAGCCGGAGTAACCCGCAAGGGGACATTTTAGCTCCACGTGCTCATCCTTGCTCTATACTCTCCCCGTTATATTCTAGGGTAGCTCAGCTTATACTAGACAATCGTGCTGCACAAGCACACATCCTGGGCTGCCCATCATGGGCTGTCCTATGAGCGGTGTTTACCAGCAGAGATCACAGCTCTACAAGATGAAGTGTCCCCTCTGGTGGTCCCCAGCCTCTGGTAGTACAGGCTATTTGAGCATCTGAAGGTGATTAGCTCCCAAAGAAAAGAAAAACTCCTGTTTAGAGAATGAATGAATCTCCCAGAGGGAAGGACCCGTCATAAGGTGTTTGCTCCCTCTGCCTGTACTTAATGGGACAATCAGGGAAGTCCACAGGGACAATCCAAGTCATCTCTGTCCTCTACCTCCTGTTGCATTCTCAGCATTGTTCCCTTTTTAGAAAGAGCCTGTTAACTATCCTAAGTCAAAAAACAGCATTCTGACCTCTGCCCTGTAACTTCCTGATCCTCCTCTTATAAATAGGAGGCAGAGCTGGGATCCCGGGAAGCCAGGAAACAGTGAGCTCAGGAGTCCTTGGCCAGCTCTGCCTGCCCACCAGAAGGATGAAAGTCTCCGTGGCTGCCCTCTCCTGCCTCGTGCTTGTTGCTGCCCTTGGATCCCAGGCCCGGGTCATAAATGGTGAGTTCAGTAACTCTTCTTCCAGGTGACCAGGTCCATGGTAACTCAGGATCTGGGGCAGAGACACATTGCCCTTCTGTGGCTACTCTCCATCCCAGACATGGTTGTGGTACTCATTTAAAGCAGCCGCAGAGTATAGACCCGGCTCTATCTGCAGGCTTTGGACCCTGAGATGGAAATATGCACTATGGCTGGTCACTGTGGGGCCAATTATTCTCCTTTCCACAGCAAAAATTATTTGATACCTTCCCTTAGCTGACATAGGACTATTAAGTGCTAGATTAATAGAAGTGTATTAAAATTACAAATTTGTAGAAAGAAGCATAGAATTGTATGACGCTAAAACTGTTACCTACCATCTATAGTATCATTTTGGTGCATAAATGGAACCAGCCACACAAATGACTCAAGCAAGGTCACCTAACCATCCGATATTTTTGTTTAACAAATGCACATCTAGTACTTTCTATGTACAGGGCAGGCACTGTTTTAAGTGTCTTATAGATATTAACACATCAATTCCACCTAACAACTCTGTGGGGTACATATTGGGTTAAAAAAAAAAAAGCAAATTTGCTGCTTTCATAGGGAAAAACCAAAACATCAATTTTATATAGTGTTTTATATTATTATTGTTGACATTTTACAAATGAGAAAACTGAGGCACAGAACCTTAGATGACTTGGTAGATCATATAGCTAGTAAGTAGTGGAATTAAGATATGAGCTAATTAGGAAGTAGTTATGGAAAGACAAGACCATTTAAGATCTATTTTTACCTTACCCAAACCCTTCTACCTTACCCATATTAAAGTATACCCACAAGCCTCATTACATATAATTCATTTAATGTAGCCATATAAAAAATAAGTTGAAAACACTGGAAAGTGATTAGGGGGCTAAGTTGGTAGCTGAATTGTTATTATCAAGTCTTTATGTTTCAATGTGTAAACTAAATATCAATTTTATTTTATTTATTTTTTATAGAGACGGGGTTTCACCTTGTTGGTCAGGTTGGTTTCGAACTCCCAACCTCAGGTGTCCACCCACCTCAGCCTCCCAAAGTGCTGGGATTACAGGCATGAGCCACTACACCTGGCCTAAATATCAATTTTAAAACTAGCTTTTAAATTATTAAAAGTATAATTAATATAATTGTTATATTAAATGCATATTTAAGTAGTTATTAAATTATATTTAAAGTATATTTAATATAATTATGAAATTATATTTAATGTAGATCTTTAAAGTATATTAAAAGTGTATTTATATATTATATTAAGACATATGCACACATATGATTATTGCAGCACTATTCACAATAGCAAGACTGCGCCGTATCATGTAGACATTCCATTAACTGAACCGCGTTAGATTTTGCAGGTTACTTTTAGTATTTCAAAGTCAACACAACGTTTTCATGTCCACATGTTCAAAAGGTCCCTGAAAAAACTCAAGGCCCTAAGGGAATAAACGGGCCGGGAGGCAAGCCTAGAACCCAGACAGGTGGTAGTGGGTCCAGTGTCAGAGCCTCTCTGCCTCAGGAAGGGGATGAGCAATGGGGTGGGTGGAGATGCTGAAGCACTGCCGCCACCCAGTGATTTCCTTCCTTGTCCTGTTTGCTTCTTCCAGATGCAGAGACAGAGTCCGTGATGTCAGAGCTTCCATTGGAATATCCGTTAGTTCAGAAAGGTGAGTGGCCAGATACGGCATACATTAGTTCAGAACAGTCAGTGGTCAGATATGGCATATGTTTAAACAGTAAGTAATCAGATCTGGTCCAGCGTCAGAGCCTCTCTGCCTCAGGAGGGGGATGAGCAATGGAGTGGGTGGAGATGATACAACACTATTGCCACCCAGTGATTTCCTTCCCTGTCCTATCTGTTTCTTCCAGATGCAGGGACAGAGTTCGTGGTATCACAGGTTTCAATGGAACAACCAGCAGGTCAGAAGAAATACGGCATACATTCAAAAGCAGTGGGCAGGTGGAGGTCCCCGCTATGAGATCCATTGTCCCTGTTTACAGAACGGAAGGAGAATGAGGGTCCTGAGGGTGGTGAACATGTCCAAGGAAGATCAGGATGGGCCACAAAGCCCTCCTTCAAAGATGCCCCCTCGATTCCCCTCTGGCCGTCCCAAGAGTCTGCTCCTTTGGGGCAGAAGGTGCTTTCTGATGCCTGCCCGTGTCTGCAGATGCCTTTCCCTTCCGGGGGAAATGTTCCTGGTCCTGCTGTGGCCCACCCTGGGTGCCCTCAGACACACAGGCCAATCCTGGGCAGGGTTGAAGCGAGGAGATGCCAGGAAGTGCTGGCTGAGGAGGAGGAAACATCTCTTCCAAGGCACATGCCTTCTCACCCTCCACAGTGCTCTCAAGGAGAAACACTGGCCCTCAGACAACCCTTTTTCTTTCAACAGGTTTAACCCTTCCTGCTGACTGCTGCTTCCACTTCCCTCGACAAACCGTCCGGTGTTCTCTCATGAATTATTATTTTGAAACGGGCAACAAGTGCCCCAGGCCAGCTGTCATGTAAGTACCAAGCTCACGAACCACGTGTTGGGGAAGAAGAAGCCCCCAGCGTCTTGCAGGGAGGACCCGATGGATCGGCATCCATCGGGTCCCACCCTCTGAAGCCTGCCAGGTCCGGGGCAGCTGTGTCCTTATGAGGATCCTGCAGGGCATCAGGGATGAGACATTCCCAGTGGAGAGGAGGTAGGGAAGGGAGAATAAAGCAGACACGAGTTGGCCCAAGGACACTTCCATGAGTCATTAAGGAGCCCCACAGGCTGAGAGGGTCTCAAGACGAAACTGAGCTGCCATCAGCAGAGAGAGGAAAAAAACAGGCTGTGTTGAGTGGGAGATCTGAGAGGCAGGGAGGATGGGGTCCCCTGTCTCCACCCGCTAAACACACCTCACTTTGTAACCTTTCTCTCGCTTGTTCCCCAGCTTCCTCAGCAAGAGTGGGCAACGAATCTGTACCAAACTCAGTGATACAGGAGTTCAGGAGTGCATGAGAAGGCTGACGCCCTACCCAAATTCCCACGTCCGGGAACCAAAATAAACAGACAAAAGAGGCCAGTCATCCAGCTTCAACACCTCTTCTGTGTCTCTTGGCCTGAATTTTCGAAAAAAATTATTGTTGTGTCTGGTAATACAAGCAATGCATCTAATAAAGAGTGTTCAATTTTTAACTTTGCTTGAGTTTTAAGAGGAAATAAACTGATATAAAACTGAAGGAACTGCTGAGCCCCAATATGATTAAATACAAATTCACCTTATATCTCATCTTCTCCTCTCTACTGAAACAGCTCATCTTCAAAGGCTTGGCTACAATTTCAAGAAAGTTTTTTTAAACTCCATCATTTGCCCAGTTAACACCATTTTCTAGTTTACTTAACATTCGATCCATTATAATCCCATAACCATTGTAATTTTTCCCACAATTCCCTTTTGATATTTTCCTATTCACCAAAAGAGAACTACTATTTGTTTCCTTATCAGCCTGCATTTGCACTTCCATGTGTACACCATTTGTTTTATGATAACTACTTCATTCTTTGAGACAGTCTTCAAGGACCTTCTAACTTCCTATTCCAATTTGCAAAAATGCTTTCTGGACCTGCCAAAATAATAATGATAATAATAAGTTACACTGAGATTTCTTCTCATCACACACTTGAGTTCATTCTGCCATGACAGATAGCCCACAGCTTCCTCTTCCTTTGGTTTATTTTCTATTTTGCTAGAAGATCCTTGAACTGCCTTGTGCTTCAAAAGATGACAAAGGCAAACACTCTCCTTTGCTCCATAGGTGCCAGGGCAGGCACAACTCAGGCTTGGCCAATCTATGCTCGCTTCCAGAGATCTGAGCCTGAAACAAGTATTGCAGAGAGGTAGAAAAAGAGAGGACTCCATTGAGGTGACAGTGGTGGTGGCAACAGCTTCCAGGTTTTGGAGGCAGCAATGCAAGCACACGTGCCCCATGACCAGTGCTAGAGGTCAGCACCACTAGCTGCAGTGCCCAGCAGCAGTGGCAGCATTCACACCAGTTGATTCTTGTAGCATGATTTTTGGATGTGGTTTTCGAGCTGGTCTCTCTAGGTTTCTACCTCTGCCTACCAGGTTCAAGCAATTCTTCTGCCTCAGCCTCCCTAGTAGCTGGGATTACAGGCACCCACTACCACGCCTAGCTAATTTCTGTATTTTCAGTAGAAACAGGGTTTTACCCTGTTGGCCAGGTTGGTCTCGAACTCCTGACCTCAGATCATCCACCCACCTTGGCAGCCTTTTTGAGATGGAGTCTTCCTCCGTCACCCAGGCTGGAGTGCAGTGGTGCGATCTTGGTGCACTGCAACATCTACCATGTGGGTTCAAGCGATTCTCCTGCCTCAGCCACCCGAGTAGCTGGAATTCCAGGTACCCACCACGACGACCAGAAAATTTTTGTTTTTTTTCGTAGAGACAGGGTTTGGCCATGTTGGCCAGGCTGGTCTTGAACTCCTGACCTCAAATGATCTGCTTGCCTCAGCCTCCCAAAGTGCTGGGATTATAAACGTAAACTACCCACCAGAACTGGCCCAAGACTTTCCATTCTAACCAAGCATCTAGCCACTCACAGAAGGTCTGGGAGGGGGCAAAAACATGTTACGTGCAGGTTAATTGCATGATACATACTCTCTTCTCACAGTTCCTCAGAAACAGCATGTTCTTTTTTGTTTCCTTGCTTTGTGTGGTGCCCTCTGCCAGGCATGCCATCCTCTCAACTCTGCCCAGCAAAACACAACCCAACCTCAAGAGCTCAGATTAGATGCTCCCATAAAACCTTTCCCCTTCATCCCAGCCAGAAGGGCCCATCGCCCTTTCTCTGGAATCTTGAAGCATACATTTATTGTCACTCAAAAAGATTATTATTGAGCAGCTACTTCAGGTTATACATTGTGCCAGGCATTAGGAAAACTATGAAAAGCAAACAAAGTAGAATATTGTCCTTCAAGAATATATCAGACCAGGGCCGGGTGGGGTGGCTCACGTCTGTAATCCCAGTACTTTGGGAGGCCGAGGTGAACAGATCACCTGAGGTCAGGAGTTCAAGATCAGCCTACCAACCTGGCGAAACCTTGTTTCTACGGAAAACACAAAAATTAGCCAGGCATGGAGATGGGCACCCTGAATCCCAGCTACTCAGGAGACTGAGGCAGGAGAATCGCTTGAACCCAGAAGGCAGAGGTTGAAGTGAGCCGAGATCATGCCACTGCACTCCAGCCTGGGTGACAGAGCAAGACTCTGCCTCAGAAAAAAAAAAAAAAAAAAAAAAAGAATATGTCAGTTCATAGAAAAGACTGAAAATAAGAATAAGAATGATGCTTGGGCACAACAAATCATATCTAATTCATTGCCAAGTCTCCAGAGTTTTATGCAACATTGGAGCAAAAACAGGAAGCTATTTATCCTAGAGGCAACCAACCTGGGACTCAAGTCTCCCCAGGCCCTAGCTGGACTGGCCGATGGCTGAAGAGACCACATGATATTGAAGCATCGCATTTAGAAAGCTGTGCGATAGACAAGGCTTCTGAAACTCAGCATGCATAAGACTCACCAGGTAAGGCTTGCGGAAACACAGATTGTGGGCTCCCACTTCCAGAAATCTGGTTCAGGAGGACATGGGTAGTGCCAAAGAATCAGCATTTCTAACGAGTTTCCAGGTGATGCTGATGCTGCAGAGAGCAGTGGAAATTTGAAGAGGAATTCACTCCTGACTTCGTAACTTCGCCATTCTTTGCAGTATTCTAAACAGCACATATTTCTTTAGTGATCAAAAAATTAAAAAGTTGAAAAATGCGTATTGGGCCTAGTACTTGGAGAAATGGAATTTGAAATTCCTCCTGGAGAAAGCTCGGAATTTGTTTCTTCCCAAGCAACATCAGAATCATCTTCTGTAAGTTCCGGTCCCTCTCATGCTAATAGAAAAACTGGAGTAACTTCTACTGCCTCAGTGAGCAAGCCCAAAACCCCATTAGTGGCGAGGAAGAAAGTATTCCGAGCATCGGTGGCTCTAACGCCAACGGCTCCTTCTAGAACAGGCTCTGTACAGACGCCTCCAGATTTGGAAAGTTCTGAGGAAGTTGATGCAGCTGGAGAAGCCCCAGAGGTTAGAGGACCTAAATCTGAAGTGGAAGAAGGGCATGGAAAACTCCCAGTAATGCCAGCTGCTGAGGAAATGCATAAAAATGTGGAGCAAGATGCGTTGCAGCAAGTCATACGGGAGATTAGAGTCTATCATTGGGGAGATGAGACGGGAACTTGTAAGTGGACTTTTGGCAGCGTTATCTTCAAGTAAAACATCTAATTCTAAGCAAGATAATCATTAAATGGAAATTATAGGTTGGCATGGATCCTATTAGCTGTGTAATACTGGAGTTACCAATGGTAGGCACTGGTGGAGGTGTTACTTGTGCTTTAGAAGATACTTGCTGTTGAACTGGGTGACTGTATACAGTGTACAATGTGTATTTCTTCAAGTGTATCTTCTAAAAAAAATACATAGAAACTTAGACACTTTGCTATTTCTTTTCTAAACTATCAAAAACTGTAGCAGTTTGAAAAGCCTAATATTTATTTGTATGTCAATATTTTTCATTTGATTCCCTATTAGAATTAATTATAAAACTTGAAGACTTCCAGACTTATCCAACTTATAAATAACGTATTTCTTCATACTGGCTTCTTAAAACACTGACTTCTATGAGGTATTTACTGTGCAATAACTGATTCATTTTTTGAGAGCTTGAAGCAACCAATTTCTCCCTCCACTGCTGTTACTTAATGTCACTACCAAGAAGCAAAACTGTTCTGTTGTTAAAAAATAATTGCTCTTAATTCTTGAAAAGTTACTAATAGCAGTAGGATAGAATTATATGAGGTTACCTACAACTACTTAACGTTCTTACACTGTAAGCCTTCTTGCTTTACTCAAGACAAATGTAATTTTATCATTTCTTATGTAGTATTTTTCTTATCGAAATGTGCCTTATGTTAAACGCTGTACTTTCAGTTTTTGCATTGTCCAGACTTCTTTATTAGATGGAGATGTTTCTTCTTCCGTCTTTTAGACTAAATAGTAGAGTATCATCCAAATAATGGAGCCCATGACTTGAATGAATATAAATGAATAAGCTAGTGTTTGTTTTTTCAAAATGGAAGTAATTTAGATTTGTTCTCTTCCATACATAAAATGATTTTAGTTGTTTAACCAGTGAAAGCTGTTTGTTTTATGAAAAAAAAAAAAAGGAAAATGTTTTCCTATTTGGTTTTATATGTGTTAAATAAATGTGTAAAGTAACCACCAAAAAAAAAAATTTTTTTTTCATCTGATAGATGACAATTTCCCCCACAGGAGTCATGCCATTTTGCACCCCCACCAGTAATGTGGGGGCAGGTCTGCTTCGCATGGGGCTTTTCTAGAGTTGTCATGCCCTGAGCCTGCATGGTGGGAGACAGTGAGCCTGGAGAGGGCAGAGCCAGCGCATTATCTGATCTAAGATGCTTCCAACGATCCAGGGAAGAAGGTGATGGGTTGGAGGCGGGGCAGGCTCCCGCAGGCTGGGGAGGGACCTCCAGAAGGCAGTTACTGTTTGCGAGGCAGTGCCAGCTGACCTGCAGTGGGATGAGGACGCTGTGCTGCCCCATGGCCCTGGGGATGAGGTGCAGTTCTGGGAGGAAGCCCTGACCTGCAGAGAGCCAGGCAGTCCTCATCGGTGTTGCACTGCATTTGGCTAAATGGTCGTCTGCACCCATGTATCTGAAAGTTAGATGGCATTCCCTGTAGGCCTTAGGAAAGCTGGCTCACCAATTTATTACTGAAATTTATTTCAATTCTATCTTTGCCCAAAAAAGTACCTGAGGCCGCCAGGCTGACTTTGGTGGGCTTTTTTTGACCATGAGTGGTAGAAACATGGTTCTACCAACCAAATGTGTGCACACACCATGCTGCAGCTGCTGGGCCACCTGTCTGTCCTGCCAACTGGACACAAGCTTCATGGCGGCAGGGACTGTCCTCATTCCCCATAGTGGGCTCAGTGGCACATGGCAGGTGCTTCATTAATAAATGCTCTGGAAGGACTGAGTACCATGGTTACAGCACAGCACTGCACTGTGCTTTTCAAGTATTTTACTGTAGATTATCCCACATACACTCTCAAAACAGGCATTCCCCATCAAGCACTGCTAGGCTCCCACTGTCCACTGTGGAGCCAAGGCCGAGGCGAGGTCAGGCAGATGGCATGGCTCTTGCAATCTAGCTCTTCCAGCTGGACTAGCCGTGGGGTTTAACTGCTCCTTTAGTGGGCTGGTGGAGGGCTGGATTTGGAGAAGTTGCCCAGAGAGAGCCTTAGTATCTGGTATCAGAGGTGTCTTAGGCAGTCTGAGGCTGGTGACTGAGGAGTGAAGCAGGCCTTGGCTAACTGGCTGCCTGGTGAGGGAGGGGTCAGGCCAAGAAGCAGGGCCCCCGGGCAGGGCTCATGGACTCGCCAGGAAGCTGAGGACTGTTCTGGGCTGCCCCAGGGAAGGGTTTAGCTTCGAAGCAGCTGGGAGCCAGCCCCAGGCTCTGCTTCTGGGACTCTAGCCTCTGATCTGTCAGGAAGTGGGATATCAAATCAGCGTGGATGTGGGCCTGGGGTTTTTGGATAGCTTGTCCCCGGAGTAGCATCTGGTTCTAAACCATACCCACAACAGCCTGTGGGTCCCACTCTGGCTCCTGCACACAAACTCAAGCCACTTGCTGCCTCTTCCAGGCTGGCCTCCCCAGCACCAGCTGCTCCATCAGCAAACTGCCACCACCTCTGAAAGAGGGCACTGACTGCCCTTCTTTGCACAGATAAATCCAGAATGCCTGACTGACTGTGGAGGTATAGGGCAGGCACCCCCTCTTCCCCTGCTCAGGGGAGCAGGGCCCCATATAGTCCCACAGCCTTGATGTGGCTGGACAGGGGAAGGATCCCAGCAGGAAGTGACAGCAGAGAGGAGGTGGGGAGGGCTGGTGCATCCGCAGCAGGGCAGGGGCATGAAGTCCTGGGGCACCAGTTCAGCTAAGGCCCTACTTGTGTGCCTTTCCAGGCCCCTCTGAAGCCAGCTGGAGCCTAGCCCTCATCCCCAGTCTCAGGGTCACTCAGGCTGTCTGCCTTCCCCTTTTAAGGTGCGCCTCCCAGACCTTGCTGTGGAGACTGGCCTGTCCACAGCTGTACTCTCCTGGACCGATTCTGTACTGGATTCTGCAGTAGCTGCTCCACTGAGCTCTGTACTCGTCAGCACTGTGGGCAGGAGGCCGAGAGCTCCAGGTGGGCATCAGCCCCTCCTGTCTCCTTCAGAGCTGGGTGTCCTTGGTGTAGAAGGAGGCGGGTCCACCATCTCAGTGGGTCAAAGACTCCAGGCACACAGGGCAGGGCCAGCGGAAGACAGCCAGACAGGCTGGTGCTTCTTCCCTCCTACCCTGACCCAAGAGTTGGGCCCGGTTAGGCCTGTGTCCTTCAACAGTGGGAAGGGGAGGTGAAATCTAGACATCAGGACTGTGTTCCCCATTGAGGGAGAAGGGAGGGAGGTTGTTTGGAAGATGGGGACTGTGGGTTCTGGGGTGAGCCCGGGGATAGGCTCCTTCTCCCAGAGTCCAGTAAGGCAGTTAGTCTAGGAAAGTGAGGTCCTGGCGAGGGTGTGGGAAGAGCCTAGGTGTGAGTTCCCAGCCCATGGCAGACCCTGTTTTTTAAAAACTCCCTTGTTCCAAGGGCTTTCCAACATCGCCTTCAACTGCATGATCTTGGGCACTCTGTTTATTGGGGGCTCCCTTGTGACCGGACAGCAGCTGACAGGGGGAGACCTCATGTCCTTCCTGGTGGCCTCCCAGACGGTGCAAAGGTCCATGGCCAACCTCTCCAACCTGTTTGGTCAGGTGGTCCAGGGGCTGAGCACAGGCGCCCGGGTCTTCGAGTACATGGCCCTGAGTCCCTGCACCCCGCTGTCTGGGGGCTGCTGCATCCCCAAAGAGCACCTGCGTGGCACCATCACATTTCACAACGTCCCGGCTTCGAGGTGCTGAAAGACTTCACCCTGACACTGCCCCCTGGCCAGATCACGGCCCTCGTGGGCCAGTCTGGGGGAGGAAAGACCACCGTGGCTTCCCTGCTGGAGCGCTTCTACCACCCCACAGCAGAGGTGGTGGGGGTAGTGCTTCCATGTCTGCCTGCTCCCAGCTGTCTTTGGCCAAAGACCAAGGCCTCTCCATCACGGTGTCGGGAAAGCTGGATGCTGTCACGAAAGCTCGGAAGGACACTGCTGCTAGACTGCAGACTCAGGCCGCAGCAACTGTCGCTCTTCCCAAAGAACGCCATCGCTTTGTTATTGGCAAAAATGGAGAGAAACTGCAAGACTTGGAGCTAAAAACTGCAACCAAAATCCAGATCCCATGCCCGGATGACCCCAGCAATCAGATCAAGATCACTGGCACCAAAGAGGGCATTGAGAAAGCTCACCATGAAGACTTGCTCATCTCTGCCGAGCAGGACAAACATGCCGTGAGAGGCTAGAAGTAGAAAAGGCATTCAACCCCTTCATCGCCAGGTCGTGTCATAGGCTGGTTGGCGAGATCATGCAGGAGACAGGGCCGCGCGCACATCAATATTCCCCCACCCAGTGTCAACCGGACAGAGATCGTCTTTACCCGAGAGAAGGAACAACTGGCTCAGGCTGTGGCTCCCATCAGGAAGATTTATAAGGAGAAGAAAAAGAAGACTACAACCATCACAATGGAAGTGAAGAAATCCCAGCCCAAGTATGTCATGGGGCCCAAGCACAATTCTTTGAAGGAGATCCTTGAGAGAGCCAGCGTTTCAGTTGAGATCCCATCCTCAGACAGCATCTCAGAGACTGTAATACTTCGAGGCGAGCCTGAAAAGTTAGGTCAGGCTTTGACTGAAGTCTATGCCAAGGCCAATAGCTTCACTGTCTCCTCTGTCGCCACCCCTTCCTGGCTTCACAGTTTCATCATTGGCAAGAAAGGACAGAACCCGGCCAAAATCATTCAGCAGATGCCACAGGTTCACATCGAGTTCACAGAGGGCAAAGGCAAGACCACCCTGGAGGCCCCTACCAAGGATGTCAGTGTGGCCCAGGAACAGATAGAAAGCATGGTCAAAGATTTGATTAACCAGATGGACTACGTAGAGATCAATATCAACCAGGCCGGGCGCGGTGACTCACGCCTGTAATCCCAGCACTTTGGGAGGCCGAGACGGGTGGATCACGAGATCAAGAGATCGAGACCATCCTGGTCAACATGGTAAAACCCCGTCTCTACTAAAAATACAAAAAATTAGCTGGGCATGGTGGCACGTGCCTGTAATCCCAGCTACTCGGGAGGCTGAGGCAGGAGAATTGCTTGAACCCAGGAGGCGGAGGTTGCGGTGAGCCGAGATCGCGCCATTGCACTCCAGCCTGGGTAACAAGAGCGAAACTCCTTCTCAAAAAAAAAAAAAAAAATCGACCACAAGTTCCACAGGCACCTCCTTGGGAAGAGTGGTGCCAACATAAACAGAATCAAGGACCAGTACAAGGTGTCCGTGCGCATCCCTCCCGACCGTGAGAAGAACAACTTGATCCGCATTGAGGGGGACCCGCAGGGTGTGCAGCAGGTCAAGCGAGAGCTGCTGGAGCTTGCGTCTCGCATGGAAAATGAGCGTACCAAGGATCTAATCATTGAGCAGAGATTTCTTCGCACAATCATTGGGCAGAAGGGTGAACGGATCCGTGAAATTTGTGACAAATTCCCAGAGGTTATCATCAATTTCCCAGACCCAGCACCAAAAAGTGACATCGTCCAGCTCAGAGGACCCAAGAATGAGGTGGAAAAATGTACAAAATACATGCAGAAGATGGTGACAGATCTGGTGGAAAACAGCTACTCAATTTCTGGTCCCATCTTCAAACAGTGCCACAAGAACATCATTGGGAAAGGAGGTGCAAACTTTAAAATCGTGAGGAAAGCAACACCAACATTGATCTTCCAGCAGAGAATAGCAATTCAGAGACCATTATCATCACAGGCAAGCGAGCCCACTGCAAAGCTGCCCGGAGCAGGATTCTGTCTATTCAGAAAGACCTGGCCAACATGGCTGAGGTCTCCATCCCCGCCAAGCCGCACAACTCCCTCGTTGGCACCAAGGGCCGTCTGATCTGCTCCATCATGGAGGAGTGTGGCGGAGTCCACGTTCACTTTCCCGTGGAAGGTTCAGGAAGCGACACTCTTGCTATCAGGGGCCCTTCCTCGGACGTGGAGAAGGCCAAGAAGCAGCTCCTACATCTGGCGGAAGAGAAGCAAACCAAAAGTTTCACCGTTGACATCCGCGCCAAACCAGAATACCACAAATTCGTCATCGGCAAGGGGGGTGGCAAAATTCACAAGGTGCGTGACAGCACTGGAGCACGTGTCGTCTTCCCTGCGGCCAGGGACAAGGACCAGGACCTGATCACTATCATCGGAAAGGAGGATGCTGTCCAGGAGGCAAAGAAGGAGGTGGAGGCCTTCATCCAAAACCTGGATAATGTGGTGGAAGACTACATGCTGGTGGACCCCAGGCACCACCGCCACTTCGTCATCCAAAGAGGCCAGGTCTTGCAGGAGACTGCTGAAGAGTATGGTGGCGTGATGGTCAGCCTCCCACGCTCTGGCACACACAGTGACAAAGTCACCCTCAAAGGCACCAAGGACTGTGTGGAGGCAGCCAAGAAGTGCATTCAGGAGATCACTGAGAACCTGGAAGCTCAGGTGACATTAGAATGTGCTATACCCCAGAAATTCCATCCATCTGTCATGGGCCCCAAAGGTTCCAGAATCCAGCAGATTACTCGGGATTTCAATGTTCAAATTAAATTCCCAGGTAGAGAGGAGAACCCAGTTCACAGTGTAGGGCCAGCTGTCCAGGAGAACGGGGACAAAGCTGGGGAGGGGAGAGAGGCCAAAGACGCTGACCCTGGCTCTCCAAGGAGGTGTGACATCATCATCGTCTCCGGCCGGAAAGAAACGTGTGAGGCTGCCAAGGAAGCCCTGCAGGCACTGGTTCCTGTCACCATCGAAGTAGAGGTGCCCTTTGACCTTCACCGTTACATCATTGGGCAGAAAGGAAGCAGGAGCCGCAAGATGATGGATGAGTTTGAGGTAAACACACATGTGCCAGCCCCTGAGCTGCAGTCCGACATCATTGCCATCACAGGCCTCGCTGCAAATTTGGACCGGGCCAAGGCTGGACTTCTGGAGCATGTGAAGGAACTGCAGGCTGAGCAGGAGGACCGGGCTTTAAGGAGTTTTAAGCTGAGTGTCACTGTAGACCCCAAATACCATCCCAAGATTATTGGGAGAAAGGGGGCAGTGATTACCCAAATCCAGCTGGAGCATGACATGAACATCCACTTCCCTGATAAGGACGATGGGAGCCAGCCTCAGGACCAAATTACCATCACAGGGTACGAAAAGAACCCAGAAGCTGCCAGGGACGCTATATGGAGAATTGTGGGTGAACTCGAGCAGATGGTTTCTGAGGAGGTCCCGCTGGACCACCGTGTTCACGCCCGCATCATCGGGGCCCAAGACAAAGTCATTCGCAAAATTATGGACGAATTCAAGGTGGACATTCGCTTCCCACAGAGCGGGGCCCCAGACCCCAACTGCGTCACTGTGACAGGGCTCCCAGAAACGTGGAGGAAGCCACTGACCACATTCTCAACCTGGAGGAGGAATACCTGGCCGATGCGGTGGACAGCGAGGCGCTGCAGGTGTACATGAAACGCCTGGCACACGAGGAGGCCAAGGCGCCATCCAGAGGCTTTGTGGTGCGGGACGCACCCTGGGCTGCCAGCAGCAGTGAAAAGGCTCCTAACATGAGCAGCTCTGAGGAATTTCCCAGCTTTAGGGCACAGGTGGCTCCCAAGACCCTCCCTTGGGGCCCCAAACAGTAACGTTCAAAAAGCAGAAACTTCTCCAGCCTGCTGACCCGAACCCAACCACACAATGGTTTGTCTCCATCTGACCCAGCGGCTGGACACTCCGTAAATTGTTGATGCTCTCCCCCCTTCCCGAGGTCTCACAGAGAAGCCTAGCGCCTGGCTCTGTGTGCGAGGCTCCTACAGGCCTGGCCGTGCCCAGTGCCCGCTCAGGACCTGCTCCACTGTTAACACTCAACAAGGTCATGAGCACTCATGCTAAGATAACAGACTCCAGCCCCTGGTCCACCCGGCAGGCCAGTCAGCACTCTGACCTTCTTCACCAGAACACCGCAGCAGCGGCTAGGATTCGACTTCCTGGTTTCTGAGGATGTCCCGCTGGACCACCTCAGGAAATAAACTTCCTTGACTTTATTTAAAAAAAAAAAAAATTTGGAAAAAAAAAATAGAGAGAAAGCTCGGAAGATGGCAGCCTTGAAGAAGATGACAGCTGTGCTTTGCTTATAAAACAACATGGTCCCTTACTGAAGGACCAGGATGAGAGCTGTCCCAAAGTGAATAGCTTCTTAGCTCAGGATAAGCATGAAGAAGGATTGTAGAGATTCAGTAGTCTAAATGATTTGTCTCAACCTGTTTCCCAAAATAATGAGAGTACTTTGCCGGCATGTCGTGGTGGTGATTTTGTGTCGTTTCCACCTGCATTGGCAGGGAAGCTTGCTGCTTCTGTTAATCAGGCAACTAAAGCAAAACCTGATGAGCCAGAATTTCACTCACCTCAATCAAATAACCAGAAACAGGGAACTGAAGAATCAGCTGTTTACAATCAAGTTTCTCTTTCGTTAGTTAAGAGTTTAACGTCGAAACCTTTTGAAAGCCAGGGAGGAGGGTATCTTTCTTCCCAACCAATCCAAAGTAAAAATAGAAAATTATCAAGTGAGAGTTTGAATCCTAAGAACAATACTAACTCAGCATATTTCTGCAGAAAGAAATTAGATGGTGTACCAGGTGGTAAAACTACAATTTTAAATACAGAAAACTTTTCTAGTACACCTGCTGCTAAGTCTTTGAAAATATTGCCTTCTGGCCCTAAGTGTAATGCAATACATCCTTCTACCAAAGTAATGAAGCAAACAGATATGTGTGTATTTTGGACTACCCCCCAAAAGAAAAGAAGAGAAATTTCTAGGGGAAAGTGCATTAAAAGGGATAAACTTAAATCCAGTTCCAAGTCCTAATAAAAAGAGGTCCTGGCAGTGCAAGAGGAAAGCAGAAAAATCTTAAGTGATTTAGAATTTGATGTGAAGAATTTAAATGAGAGTCTTTCTGTGGGACTTTCTAGTGAGAGGTCACAGCGTCAAAAAAAAAAAAGAGACTTAAAAAGTCAAATTCACTGCAGGAAGGAGTGCATCAGAAGAGATCAGATCACCTTGCTAATGCAGAATCTGAAACAGTCAATTTAAGTAAAGTCAAAGTCTTCACAAAATCAGTTCATGGTGGACTGCAAAGGAGGAACAGGAAAATCCCAGAGTCATCTAATGTAGGAGAATTAAGAAAAAAGACATGTCCATTTTTATAAGAAAATACCTGGAACTGGCTTTACAGTTGATGCCTTTCAGTATGGCGTGGTTGAAGGTTGTACAGCCTGTTTTCTCACACATTTTCATTCTGATCATTATGCTGGATTGTCTAAACACTTCACATTTCCGGTTTATTGCAGTGAAATAACTGGTAATTTGTTGAAGAACGAGCTTCATGTGCAAGAACAATATATTCATCCATTGCCACTGGACACTGACTGTGTCGTCAAAGTTGTTTTGCTTGATGCCAATCACTGTCCAGGTGCTGCCATGACCCTCTTTTGTCTTCCTAATGGTGCTGTCATATTACACACGGGAGACTTCAGAGCAGATCCCAGAATGGAACGTTCTCTTCTTGTGAACCGGAAAGTCCATGTGCTGTACTTAGATACCACATATTGTAGCCCAGAGTACACCTTTCCATCTCAGCAAGAAGTTATCCAGTTTGCCATCAACACTGCCTTTGAGGCTGTAACTCTAAACCCACGTGCTCTTGTTGTCTGTGGTACTTACTGTGTTGGAAAAGAGAGTCTTCCTAGCCATTGCTGATGTTTTAGGTTCAAAAGTGGGCATGTCCCAAGAAAAATAGAAAACACCACAGTGCCTCAATACACCAGAAATTAATTCATTCATCACTACAGACATGTGCAGTTCATTGGCTCACCTTCTCCCAATGATGCAAATTAATTTCAAGGGCTTACAGAGTCATTTGAATAAGAATGGTGGGAAATATGATCAGATTTTGGCATTTAGACCTACAGGATGGACACACGCTGACAAGTTCACTAGTATAGCAGATGTTATTCCGCAGACCAAAGGAAACATTTCAATATATGGAATTCCTTACGCAGGCGTCCCCAAACGTTTTACACAGGGGGCCAGTTCACTGTCCCTCAGACCGTTGGAGGGCCACCACATACTGTGCTCCTCTCACTGATCACCAGTGAAAGAGGTGCCCCTTCCTGAAGTGCGGCGGGGGGGGGGGGCGGATAAATGGCCTCAGGGGGCTGCAGTTTGGGGACGCCTGCCTTACAGTGAACACAGCAGCTACCTGGAAATAAAACACTTTGTCCAGTGGCTGAAGCCGCAGAAAATCATACCTACTGTAAATGCTGGCACCTGGAAATCTAGGAGCACGATGGAGAAATATTTTAGAGTGTGGAAACTGGAAGCTGGATATTGATGATACCTCCGAGGATTCAGTAGTAGTTAAGTTCCTTGGTTGTAGCTTGCTAGTAGTTAAGTCTACAGAGATATACAGTGCACTTTGTGTGGAAAACCTTCATGAAGATTGTTCAGATAGTTTAGTTTCTCATTTATGTTTGAACAACATGTTCCTGGTGCTGAATGCCTCTCAGCATCATCAAGGATAACTGAAACTGAGTCTCCCTGGGACCCTTAATTTCTTGCCCCTTGCCCTCCATGGGCAGTTATATTCTGCATCGAGCCCTAGAAGAGGAAGCAAAGGCAGATTCAGGGACCAAAAGGATTAATGATAATTAATAAACTAAATTGAAACATGCTATGTATAAGCAATTATGTACCTTTAAAATTATGAGATGAAACTTTTATATGTATACTTAAATAAAATTAATATAAAATTTGCAAAAAAAAATAGTAACATTCCATCTTTGCAATCTGATACGAAATACAGGAAGATACTGGTAAAGGCTTTGATGTGCATATCTATTATAACCAGGTAATCAGAACACACACGAACCACCTACTTTAGTGTTACACCATACCATCTTCTCAGAAAAGCCAGCTTCAAGCTCTACTGGGTAGCTGAGTCAGTAGCGTCCAATGTTTTAAGACTGGAGAGCAGGGGAGAAAGATGAAAGGAGAAAGCAGCAGAGACATCAAAATCCACTTTTAAGCACACGACATTATGAATATTAAAAATAAAGGATGCAAACAAAAAAGGCAATTCAGTATTTTCAGAAAGAGCATTTGGGACTATTCAACGCTTAAGGAGACTGTGCTTGGGGCCATCCACTCTCTCCAGCTTCTCAAAGTGTTTCCTGGCATTGCGAATGTTGATCAGGGTGGCCACAGAACGGATGGACGGATCTGACATGACCACCATCACGTACGTGTTTGAGATGAAGATGTCCATGACAGCTGCGAAGTTGGAATTCCTAACTTCCATGCTCTGAAAGGAAGCGGCCGATTTACTGCGGCTCAGCTTGAACTGCCTGATGATGTTGCTGATCTTCTCAAACCGGTGGACGTCGCGCTGCCCTTTGCACTGGCAGTGGGAAATAACCAAGAACGTGGCTCTTTCGAACAGCAGAACTTCATCGGCCTCGATGATTTGGGCAAAATTCCTGAGGTTCATCTCCAGCTGCTGAACGTTGGGAATCAGCTGGTAGACGATGCTGGACCAGGCTTTGCAGAGCGTCTCCTCCCAGATGGATGTTCGAAAACAAGCACACTCCAGCGGACGGGACAGACGCCTCAGGGCTTCCTCTCGCTCTTTAAAAATCAGGTCACAAGGCCGGGCGCGGTGGCTCACGCCTGTAATCCCAGCACTTTGGGAGGCCGAGGCGGGTGGATCACGAGGTCAAGAGATGGAGACCATCCTGGTCAACATGGTGAAACCCCGTCTCTACCAAAAATACAAAACATTAGCTGGGCATAGTGGTGCGTGCCTGTAGTCCCAGCTACTCAGGAGGCTGAGGCAGGAGAATTGCTTGAACCCAGGAGGCGGAGGATGCGGTGAGCCGAGATCGCGCCATTGCACTCCAGCCTGGGTAACAAGAGTGAAACTCCGTCTCAAAAAGAAAAAAAAAAAAATCGGGTCAGCTGATCCTCCTGAACCAGATCGATTTTGTGCACCAGGCGGAAGATGTTGGCGTCAAGAGAGTTCTGGAGGATGGCCTCCAGGCATGGGTCGTAAGAATGCATATCCTTTTCCAGTTCACGGCTCTCCACGTCAAACGCGTAAATCGAAACCTCTACGTTACAGAAGATGTTGTCTCGCTGGCTGGTGAAGTTATTTTCCGTGAAGGTGTCCTGACCGCCACAGTCCCACGGGTTCCGTACCAGGTTCCCCAGGAATCCGACGTGGGAGTGCTCCACGTCGGTGGTGGCCCCCAGGCGCCGGGGGTCGCGAGCGATCTAATTTGCGAAGATAATCGACCTCGTGTTGCTCTTCCCCGACCCGCTCTTCCCCATCAGCAGCACCTTTTTCTTCATGGCTGTATGTGGCATCACCCGCCGCGGACTGGGCCTGAGGGCGCGGCCTGCGCGCGGCGCCGAGGGAGGGAGAGGGGCCTGCCTGGACCGAGCTAGGAGCTGGAGAGGCTGCGGCGGGGCCTGTTGCATTCGTGACCGCCCGCGCTTTATTGGCTGTTTAGTAAACGCCTCTTGGCTGAAAACTTTTCCATCTTTTCCCCACAGGGGTTCAAGCTTGCGGCATTTGCCATCCTACGGGGTCCAAGGGTCAGGGTGGTTGGGGAAGAAAGCGTTATGCTGCCTCGACTCTCCAGCCTCCTCTACTTGGCAAGGACTTTTGCTGCTGCATGGTGACATGGGCCATCCATGCTGGGGCAAGAGCTGGCAACGCCAGGGCCTGGGTCTAAGGTACCATCTTCCACCATTTGAAGGCAAAAGGCACCCGGCGGACGGTGGCACAGGCACAGATGTCTCCCACATCTGCCAGGTAGCAGTCGAGGTCACTGATGAAGGTGCACTTGAAGCCCATGGGCTCCAGCAAGCAGCGTATCTTTTCTGCCAGACAGCAGATGCCCTTGATTTGGGGCCCCGAAAGGCTTGGGGATCCCCAGGTTTTTGCCCATCACCATCATCCACAGCAGGTTAGGGAAGTATGGCCTTGCGAAGAGCCTCTTGGGCTGCTGATCAGAGGGGACGTTGTCAGCTTCTCCAAGCAGATCAGCTGGGGAATCTCGATGATGTCCCGTTCCACCAGGCCCAGCTCTGTCTTCAGGATGTCATGGTTCAGGTGAATGCACTTCTCCACGTATTCATTCTGCTTCCTCAGGCTTTCATCAGCCAGAAGTTGGTCGATGGTTTTGGCTTCCCTTCTGTTAGACAGGAGCTGATCTGCTCTAACTCTGTCAAACAGAAAAGCATCACCGTAACCTTCCTTCTGTTTCTCTTGGAAGAGTTTGTAGCAGGCGCCCGGGCTGGCCGGGAGCAGCTGGAAGCCCTTTTTGTCCTCACTCTTCTCATCTGTGGGGATGAAACACATGAACTCATCCACATGGCCGATCATTAGCCAATCTGAGTAGAGCTCCACCAGCACGTGGACCTGCTAGGCACAGAGGAAGTCTCCGAGGGTCTTACTCATGGCCCCGCCCCCCACGCTGGGGTAAAAGCTGCTGCCAATGAGGACTCTGCCCAGGGGGTATTCTTTCCCCTGGACCTTGACAGGTGGGGACACCATCACGTTCCCGATGGAAACCATGCTGGCCACTTTATGGTCCTCAGCGTCATGGGTCATGTAGCCAATACCGGGGCTCAGTGAGTATTTCATGGGGAACTCATCAAGATTGGGGGCTCAAGGCATGTCGAGGATCAAGAATGTGGTCTTTGGGGTGCCTGGGTGTAGCAGAAGGCCAGCTCTTCCTGGAGCCACCTGCTCAGCCAGCATGTTCTTTTTTGCTTCCTTGCTTTGGGTGGTGCCCTCTGCCAGGCATGCCATCCTCTCAACTCTCCCCAGAAAAACTCAGCCCAACCTCAAGGGCTCAGATTAGATGCTCCCATAAAACCTTTCCCCTTCATCCCAGCCAGAAGGGCCCATCTCTCTTTCTCTGGAATCTTTAAACATATATTTATTGTCACTCAAAAAGATTATCATTGAGTGCCTACTTCAGGTTATGCATTGTGCCAGGCATTAGGAAAATTGTGAAAACCAAATAAAGTAGAATATTGCCCTTCAAGAATATATCAGTCCAGGGCCGGGTGGGGTGGCTTACGTCTGTAATCCTAGTACTTTGGGAGGCTGAGGTGAACAGATCACCTGAGGTCAGGAGTTCAAAATCAGCCTACCAACGTGGCGAAACCTTGTCTCTACCGAAAACACAAAAATTAGCCAGGCATGGAGATGGGCACCCTGAATCCCAGCTACTCAGGAGACTGAGGCAGGAGAATCGCTTGAACCCAGAAGGCATAGGTTGAAGTGAGCCGAGATCATGCCACTGCACTCCAGCCTGGGTGACAGAGCAAGGCTCTGCCTAAAAAAAAAAAAAAATAGAATATGTCATTTCATAGAGAAGACTGAAAATAAGAATAAGAATGATGCTTGGGCGCAACAAATCATATCTAATTCATTGCCAAGTCTCCAGAGTTTTATGCAACACTGGAGCAAAAACAGGAAGCTATTTATCCTAGAGGCAACCAACCTGGGACTCAAGTCTCCCCAGGCTGGACTGGCCGATGGCTGAAGAGACCACATGATATTGAAGCATCGCATTTAGAAAGCTGTGTGATAGATAAGGCTTCTGAAACTTTAGCATGCATAAGACTCACCAGGAAGGCTTGCGGAAACACAGATTGTGGGCTCCCACTTCCAGAAATCTGGTTCAGGAGGACATGGGTAGTGCCAAAGAATCAGCATTTCTAACGAGTTTCCAGGTAATGCTGATGCTGCAGAGTGCAGTGGAAATTTGAAGAGGAATTCACTCCTGACTTCGTAACTTCACCATTCTTTGCAGTATTCTAAACAGCACGTATTTCTTTAGTAATCAAAAAATTAAAAAGTTGAAAAATGAGTATTGTCTTTTCAAGAATGTGTAACAAAATGGGCCAACTTTTCACTTATGTTGATATTAGATTTATTTTGTGATGAGACTCATCAAACCTGTTTAATTATAAAATAAACATAAAATTGGAAAAGTGTTAAACATGGCTAAAGAGTCTGACCATCAATTCGGAATTTTTTTAAAAGGACAAATCTTGAGCTGGGTGCAGTGGCTAATGCCTGTAATCCCAACATTTTGGAAGGCCAAAGTGGGCGGATCCCTTGAGGTCAAGAGTTTGAGATCAGCCTGGGAAATATGATGAAAACCTCCTCTCTACTAAAAATACAAAAATAAGCCAGGTGTGGTGGTGTGCACTTGTAGTCCGAGTTACTTGGGAGGCTGAGGTAGGAGGATCGCTTGAGCCCAGGAGGTCAAGGCTGCAGTGAGCTGAGATCACACCACTGTACTACAGCCTTGGTGACAGAGTAAGACCCTGCCTCAAAAAAAAAAAAAAGAAAAGAAAAAATATTGGAAATTAAACAAAATAGCTAGAAAAACGGTGCTTAAAAGTCATTTTAAAAATCTAAAAATGATCAAATCTAAAAAAAAGCTGGGTGTGGTGCCTCACACCTGTAATCTCAGCACTTTGGGAAGCCAGGAGTTCAAGACCAGCCTGGCCAACATGGTGAAACCCCATCTCTACTAAAATACAAATATTGGCTGGGCCTAGTAGAAGGTGCCTATAATCCCAGCTACTTGGGAGGCTGAGGCAGGAGAACTGGTTGAACCCAAAAGGCAGATGTTGCAGTGAGCCTAGATCATACCACTGCACTCCAGTCCGGGCAACAGAGAGAAATTCCAACTCAAAAAAAAAAAAAAAATCTAAATAGAGCTTCACGGAGATCAAGAAACATCCATATTTTTAATCTTTTAATTTTAGAACCGGAGACAAAATTTAAAATTAATTTAACTCCTCCCCTCAACTGAGGGCTCAACCACGGCCAGGGCAGAGGAGATGATGCACACGGTTGAGGCCAGTGGGGCCAGAGTCCAGAATACAGTGAGATTGGTTACACAGAGTAAACTCAGCAAGTAAGTACATACATTCAAGTTAATGGGAGCACAAGTCCCTATTGTTAGAGGAGGGAGGGAAACATATAGAAAGGGGAAAGACTGAAATAACTCTGTGGTGTTGACTTGGAATTGGACATAGTGGTGTAAACTTTTGTTTTTTCATATAGCTAGAAAGAGGATACAGCTAATGCTTGACTTACGACCACGATTGGTTCCGACAGACGGGTCATAACACGATTTGGTTGTAAGTTGAGTAGGCTATATGTACAGTACTGTGAAATGATGTTATAAAAATCTTTAAGTCAGATATTTAAGCCTTCTTGGCAGGCTGAGGCATAGACAAAGACAATTTCCTCTTGGTAGACATCTTGGGAGGGGTTTGATGACAAATATCCAAGACACGAAACACAAATTGCTGTACCGAGTCTGGGATAACAGTGGAAATGGTGCACGCGGAGATGGTAGTGCTGCCGGAAGCTGGTCCGCACTGTCTTATGCCCAGCTGGGCAACGTTTGCGCTGCCAGACCCTGAGCAGTTGTGGCTAGCAATTGTGGTCATAAAGTCGAATGGTCGTAAGTTGCATAGGTCGTAAGTCGATCAATACCTGTATAGAAATTGCTAATAATAGGCTGGGCATGGTGGCTTACGTCTGTAATGCCAACACTCTGGGAGGTCGAGGCGAGTAAATCACCTGAGGTCAGGAGTTCGAGACCAGATTGGTCACTATGCAAAAATCCATTTCTAAAAATACAAAAATTAGCTGGGTGTGGTGACCTGTACCTGCAACTGCACTTCTGGGGTTCAAGTAATTCTCCTGCCTCAACCTCCCAAATAGCCCTGCCTCAACCTCCCAAGTAGCCTGACCTGGCTACTTGGGAGGCTGAGGCAGGAGAATTGCTTGAACCCGAGAGGCAGAGGTTGCAGTGAGTCGAGATTGCACCACTTCATTCCTGGGCAACAAAGTGAGACTCCATCTCAAAAAAAAAAATGAAAGAAAGAAAGAAATTGCTAATAATATATGAGATAGATATACTTGAAATAGATATAAATTTAAATACATACTTATACACATATGCTTACATATATTTCCTAGTTCTATCCACTGAAAGCTCAGACCTAAAAGTGATGCCATTTCCATAGCAATGAACACACCCAGCACTCAGATTTTAGTTTCTCAAAATCATTTTTTAGTAAAAGAAACAGACTCATGGAAGAAATGGCCAATTCCAGAGCCGGGCCAAGGAAAGTACAGATGAGTCTGGAACATCTATTTTTGCCAAAAAGTAAAAAAAATAAATAAATAAAAATAGATTAAAGAATAAGCCCTAAAACTTTATAGAGAGAAAAAAAACCCAGATCACCACAAATGAAAGTTTCAGAAGAAACCTATTCTTATATTTCATTGTAGAATTCTATATCGAACAAAAATATCAATCAAGTAAAAGAGCTGAATAATGACTTCTTCAGACAAGCACAAACTCAGAAAGTTCCTATAAATCCTTCCTGCACTATTCCATTTTTTAAACCAATCTATCTGTATTGCTTTGAAAAAACATTTTAAATATTTTTTAAATAGGTTCTTCATACTCAACAGGGAGCAACGGGAGGACATTCAAGGTCTCTAATAATGTCGCTACCAAATCTCATTCATCCAGTCGTAACTGGAATTCTCCTTTACTTTTTTTAGTCTCTCTTCGAGTTCTGAGTCTTCTGGGATCAGAGTCATATTCATTCCCTCCCTCTAAGCTTAGCCCAGGACTTGGCATGTGATACTGTGTCAAAGAAGTGATGTGGTCACCAAACCTATTCCTTTTCCTTCCTGGGTATACAGATGAGGTATATTTTCCATCCCTTTGGCATTATGTTGGAGCCAGGTTACTTGGTGCTGGCCTTGGAATGTGGGTGAAAGTAATTTGTACCATTTTCAGAATTGGTCCATAAAAATCTCCCAGCCCTCCTCTGCCTCTCCCTTTTGGTAGCAAGCTTGGAAGCCTTTTGCCGAACATGGTGGCATCTGAGACAGAAAAAGCCCTGGTTCCCGAACGCATGCATGGAGGATCCCAATACACACACCATCATCCCACTACTGACCCACACTGGACTGTGACATGAGCAAGAAATAAACTTCTAGTGAATTCGTCTGCTGGATCATTTATGATAGCAGTTAGCATATTCAGACTAATGTACATAGGAAGTCAATACTTTCCGGAAACGCACGGGAATTTCCTGTAAGCCTCCCAGGAACAACTTGACAGGTTGACTAGTCTCCACAAAAACAAAGAGGTAAGCATTATTTCTTTCCAATTCACTCTTCCCATAAACACCTTGTTTCCTGAGATTGTTCCTAATAACAGTTATCGTTTAACTCAAAGCATTTACATAATATTCTTATTGATGATAAGAAATACAGAAAATGTCTAATCAATGACTGTCTCCACACCTAACCATGAGATTTCAGCCATTTCCTGTAAGATGCACATATGTGGACCTGGCTCAACTTTTTTTTCCCATCCTTCTTCTAAAATGTATATTCACAAATTACCTGGCATATATTAGGTTCTGTGTGAACAGGTGTAGATAAATAATAGATGTTCTCTTCCCTGATGATTCAGATGAGGAGAGGAAATTAAATTGCCATCTAACCACATCAGCAAGCAGAATGGAGGGAGTGCTCCCACAAACAGAGCCCCCACCCTCTCAGGCACTAGGCTGCGAGTCTGCACAGGTGAGATCTGTCCTGCATCCAAATCACTGTGTGAACATGAGCAGGTCACTGGCCCTTTCTGATTCCCAGCTTCCATTCAGTAAATGGCCAGTTTAGCTGAATCAAATGGCAAATATGTAGCACGCAAGCTGCACTGCATAGAAACTGCATGTCGGTCATAGCGTATCTCCCCAGTGTGCCTAGGCATGGCCTCAGAATCATTTCTAACACAGAGCTCCAGTCCACCACTAACCTACAAAACCTACTAGCCATCCCTGAATTAGACATTTTCTAAGGTTCTCACCAAGGTTCTCCGTAGCAAAAGTCAGAGAAACCAGGAGAAGATCCCAGAGAGATCTGCTATCTGAGCTCAGAAAGGGCTAAAACTAAAGGCTTTATAGAAACTCAAGCCAGCCCGGGACATTTTTACAGAGCTCCATGGGAGTCCCATGTTTCTTTATAGTATAGTAGGTAAGAACACAAACCTGGAAGCTAGACCACCTGAGTTTGAACCCCAGTTCCACTTACCAACTGTCAAAAGCTTAGGCTTTGTTTCTGAGCCCGTTTCCTCAACTGTTCTTCTAAAGATTAAATAGGCTAGTGTTCATAAAGCCTCTGGGACTTTGTGTGTATAGCAACCATTTTATAAATGAATTGTCTACTGTGCATCAGAGCACGTCTACACCCCATGGTGTGGTGACCATGGTGGAGATGAGACTGAGAACTGCAGGTTCTGCTTACCAGTTGAAGTGAGGATTTCCCAGCCTTGACCAATGAGACCTGACTTGGGGGACTCCAGGCCTCGTTCCACTACCCCACGTGCCCTCTAGTCTCCCGATGAATAGATCCTGAATCTCCAGGTCCCACATGGCCTGTTCTAAGGCCTGAGATGGAATTGGACACAAGACACATCCAGCCTTCAGATCTTTTGCTAAATCTGACACGGTGCCCCAGCCCTGTGCTCATGTTCACGCCTCGGGAAAGGCTTGTATCAAAAGAGCTGGACTTCTTCCCACTGGGGATGGGGGACCATTTCCTCCCTTAAACCTTGGCTCTCCCGGCATTGTTCACGCCATTGTCAACAAATGTGCAGGATATGAAATTGCTGAGGCATCACTGCTTTTCTACTTCCCTTCCAAATCTGTTTCCTCATGTTAAAAAATATTTGGCCTCAACAATCATTTCTCAACAATTCCTCACCGCAGGAGCCTCAGAAGCCCCCACCAGGCCAGCTCTCCTCCTGCCACAACTCCCCACAGCATGAAGGTCTCCGCGGCTGGCATTACCTTCTTCTTCCTCATCACCATCGCCCTAGGTGATGGTGAATTCAAGACTGAATTCTCCTCAGGTGAGTGCAATGCCTTGTCTTCCTTCCAATCTAGTCCCTGCAGGGAAATAAGCAGGAGTAAGGTTGGGGCTCGTGGGGAGACCAGGAGACTCGAAAAGGAAGGCTGGCATCTTCTTGAAATTGTATGTATAGCAACCATTATATCTACTGAGCACCACAGCACTTCTTCACCCCATGGTGTGCTGAGCAGGATGGAGATGAGACTGAGGACCATAAGTTCTGCTTAAGAGTTTAAGTTAGGATTTCCCAGCCTTGACCAGTGAGACCTGACTTGGGGGACTCCAGGCCTCATTCCACTACCACAAAGGCCCTCTAGTCTCCAGATAAACAGAACCTGAATCACCAGGCTTCACTCAAGTGGCCTTGATCTCTTATCACTGCCACCCCGGGACCAGTCCGCCTGTCCCTGAAGGCCATGGAGGCCAGCCTGCCTCTCCACTCCCTCAACTTATCTCTCTTTGCCACCCAGCAAAACAGTGGCCACCCCATTTGGGGGATATTTCCTCAGGGAGATTAGGAGCAGTGTCTTGAGCCTCTCAAGGGCGTTTTTCTATTGGCCTCCTGAGGTTTAGGCCCAGCCTGCTTTCAGCGTCACCTGTGCCCAGGGAGGGCAGCATTGCTTGGGTATGGCTGGGGGTAACACGGCAGCATGTGGTTCCTCCTAGGCCTCCTTTTCTCAGCTGATTTCTTAGAATAAGCTGCCTTTAAAGACAATGAAAACTATGTATCACTCTTCCGTTTTTACCTAGTCCCATTTTCAGAAACTGGGGGGAAACAGAAGGTTGGTAAAATATCGTGGTCTAAAGTTAGCGGGCATGTGCACAGTTTGACTTGCCTCTGCAATGTCATTTGGCAGCTCCGAGGAACAAGGTGGGAGAGCACAGGAGCTCTGGCTGGGTCTCAGGAACCAGGCTTCCCCTTATGCCATTCTTTGGATAGTGAGGATGCTGCCTGGCATGGAGCTGGAAAACAGGACCAGACTTTCGCCTTTCCACCCAGGCATCGGGCCACCCTCCGTGACCTCAAGGCCATTGTGATGCACAGCCACATTTCCATCCAGTATGGCCACATGACAGGCACACACCTGATTTCTCCACTCCATAACCACACGTGCCTGTTGATACAGGGCTCTTGGTCTGCAGTGTCCTTCCTGCTGCCTCTATAATTCAAGCTTGGGGTGACTGCTGTCACCTCCTTGCTTCTCCTTTAAGAACCATGAAACTTCTCGGTCAGAAAATAGGTGTAAAAAAAAAATCACCTAATCCGCTGATTTTTATCTTTTTGTTTTTTTCCTTTTTGGGGAGAATGGGGTCTCGCTATATTGCCCAGGCAGGTCTCGAACTCCTGGGCTCAAGCTATCCTCCCGCCTCTGCCTCCCTATGAGCTGGGATTACAGGTGTGAGCCACAGCACCCGGCCAATCTGCTGATTTTTAAAACTTTTTAGACCACAAACTTTTTCTTCAAGCAACATCTTCCACAGAAGCCAAATAGTAAAACAGAAAAAAAAAAAAAAAAAAAAGAGAGAAACCAAAGATTGAGTAGGGTACAAGACATCACTCTCAAATGCAGCAGAGCCTCCAAAATAGTTCTCAAGGCCCCCAGAGCTCCAGAGAGCTCAGTATGAAAACCACTGATCCAGTCCAAGGGTCTCATTTACAGAGGAGGGAACGGGGGAAAGTTAAATGGCCACAGTACAAAGGAAGCACAGGCAAAGTTGGCTTAGGATCTGGGTGTCCTGACTCTGTGGCCATTGTCCTTAGGGCTGGGTGTGGGCATCGGGCACACTGTCGGTTCAAGGGGGACATGGGCAGGGTGGAGCACTAGGAGGGGCTGGGTTGGCATTCCCAAATGGCATGTCTCCAAATCCCTATTGGGATTTCTTCCAAACACTCCTCCTATTTGGAGCACCTTTCCGAATAAGGCACGAAGGCTGCATGACGTTGGCCAAGTCCCTAGCCTTCTCGGCTAGTCGGCCCCCAGAGACGGTGTGAGAACATCTGAGCGTGCTGCTCTTCAACCCTGGAGTTGAAGGACATCTGCCAGTTTTTCCAGGAGGAAGGGTGATTGCTGATGAGGGAGGAGGAGAAGGGAAGATGAGGAAAGCCTACTCTCCCCTCCACGTTCTGCGGGGCTGCGCCCTCCATTCTTCCCTCGTCCGTGCCCTCTGCTTGCAGAAGGAGCCCGCGGTATGGCCTTTAAGCAGCCAGTGGTTTACCCTCCTCAGCATCCCGATGCTGTCTCTGCAGGGGGACCTTACCAACCCACGGAGTGCTGTTTCGCCTACACTACTCACAGGATCCCCCGTCAGCGGATTGTGGCTTATTATGGGACCAACGGCCAGTGCTCCAAGCCTGGAATTGTGTAGGTTCACACACACACACATCACACTGGGGGGAGAGGGAGCAGGGCCTCCTGCGGGGAGGCAGGGAGTGACCCGGAAATGGGGGCACCAGCGTACCTCCCAAGTACGACTACACAGGGAGAGGCAGTTGAGCGGCAACCTGGGCACTTTCTGGCCGGAGCCTGCAGGAGCCATGGGGAAGCTGACTCCACAGATGGGGAAAGTGACGGGAAGGGAGAAGAAGGCAACAGGGCACTTTCTTGGGGGGACACAGGGACTAGATGGGTCTAGGGGTCCTAGGGGCTGAAGAGCATGTCTCAGAGAGGAGACTGGCTCTGAGCTGCTTCTCTCAAAGAAAGGAGAAGCAGTCTAGGTCAGGTGGGGAATTTAGGAGGGAGGGAGGAAGGGCTCTCTCTTCTGGCCACCGGGCCCCTCGCTTTGTGATCCTTCTCCCTCTTGCTCCACAGCTTCGTCACCAAAAGAGGCAAATCCATCTGCGCCAACCCCAATGACCAGTGGGTCCAGGACTATATCAAGGGCATGGAGGAGAACTGAGTGCCCCAGAGTGGGTGGAGAAGGCACAGCTCAGAGAAGGCACAGCTAAAGAGAAGATGCCAAGGCCCCCGTCCTCCGCCCATCCCTAACTCTCAGCCCCAGCAACCCTCTGGGAGCTTCCCTGCCTTGAATTAAAGACCACTCATGCCCTTCCCTGGCCTCATTTCTTTCTGCTCGATTTACTCATTGGCTGTGCACTGAGGACACAGGGAGTCCAGCCTGGGTGTGGCACCCTCAGCTTCAAGCCTCGCTCTGCAGAAGTTTCACTAGAGCCTTATACTCCCCACCCCGCCCCCAAAAAAATAGGTCAGGCCTGCAAGGGGGGATAGCGAGAAGGAGAAAGTGGGAAAGAAAAGCAGTGTGAAGACCATCTCCTCCTCAACAATAGCAGACCCCGTTTCCTTAGTGCTCTCTACACTCCAAGCACTCTGCTAGGCAGTCTGTGTGCATTATCTTACGTAAGCTCCATGACAAGTGGGAAAGCTAAAAATCATTTGATCGTATAGGTAAAACTTCCTAAAGGCCTCTCTATAGCAGTCAAACTCCATAGTCCTTTTTCTGTGCTGTTTCCAGGGCCTTTCTTCACTGCTGTCCGAGATAGGAATGATTTATGAAGACGTTTTACCCAATGCCTCCCTTTTACTTACATACACCAGGTTGTATTATATTACATTGTTTTGCTAATTTCTTTTTTCCACTACAAGGCTTAGCAGAAAGACTGGCCCATACCAGGTGTTCAGGAAATGGCTGGCTGGCTGGATAGATGAATGGATGGATAGATGGATGAAGGAAGGGAGGGATGGGTGATGGAAGGATGAAGGGAGGAAGGAATGAATGGAGGGATGGAGAGAGGGATGCGCCGATGGAAGGATGGATGGATGGATGGATTAATGGATGGGTGGAATAAAACAGGAATCAAGAGGAGGCCAGGCCGGGCACGGTGGCTCAAGCCTGTAATCCCAGCACTTTGGGAGGCCGAGGCGGGTGGATCACAAGGTCAAGAGATCGAGACCATCCTGGTCAACATGGTGAAACCCCGTCTCTACTAAAAATACAAAAATTAGCTGAGCATGGTGGCGCGTGCCTGTAATCCCAGCTACTCAGGAGGCTGAGGCAGGAGAATTGCCTGAACCCAGGAGGCGGAGGTTGCGGTGAGCCGAGATCGTGCCATTGCACTCCAGCCTGGGTAACAAGAGCGAAACTCCGCCTCAAAAAAAAAAAAAAAAAAAGAGGAGGCCTATGTTTCAAGAATAAGCTCTCAAACCTATCTTCAGGGCTCAAAGAGGAGCTCTGTGTACTTGGAATAAGAGCTTGCCCAGAGTAGGGATTATGACCACCCTTTCCTGGCCTCCAGCCTTCCACAGACAAGGGCTTGTGGGCCACATTAAGGGCCATGTGGGGCCTGCATCCAAAGTTACAACCAGGCTTCTCAGACCTTGCCACCTCCATAAACAGAGATCAAGAGGATGCCCCGCATATGTACCCCCGCTGCCCTCCCAGAAAGCTGCAGCTTCCCCACCAGGTGAAGCCTTGAACTCACCAGGACTAACTGCATTCTATGGTTTACCTATCTGTAAGCAGTTATGCCAGGCAGAAAGCATTTGCAGAGTTCCTTTTCTGCCCCGGCCTCCCACCGCCCTCACTTCCTGAAGCACATCACCTGTGCCTCTAAAGCTCGCCATCCATCAACAGCAAAATCCCCTCTATCTTTGAACTCTTCTCCAAATGCTACCTTCAAGGTGGAAAAGGGTCCTGAGGCACCCTGCAGACAGATGAGGCTGTGGAGCAGGTACAGCCAGAGCCCAGGCCAGAGGCGCCGAAGCTGGAGTCCTGGAGCACACACGCAGCTTGTCAGGTGCACGGAGCTGGAGCATCCCCTGCTACTCGTGGTTGGCCATGGGGACAGGGTTGGATAAACCTGTACTCTGGGCCACCCAGCAGGGATCAGCAGGCTGGCTACACCTAAAAATTCATCCAAAGTCCAAGGTCCAAAGAAATAAATAAAAACATTAACAAATCAGTCAAACAGTCCAGCAACAAATGGGGATCCAAGGATCAGGGTCATTGGTTTTTTGGAGCATTATGAGCATAAGCTGTGACATGAAAGAGTGTGAGTTCAATCAAGTGGCCTTGCACTGGGGAGGGGGCACATCCTTCTCAGAGGCAACTAAGCCCTACCCTTGCCTCAGTCTGGGCTCTGTAATCCTGCTTTGTGCTCATTCTCCCCAAGACTGACCAACTAGGGGAAGCTGGGGTGCTTCAACGCTGCCTGCCCCATCCCCAACACGGAGATGGTGGCAGGTACCATGGTGAAATCAAACAGATCTGGTTTTTTATCCTGCCTATCCACCCAGGTGACCTTGGACAATTTATTTAGCCTGTAAGCCTCAGTAGTCCCAGGGAAGTAATAATCGCTACTTCACTATTTTAAGCATGATGTAAGATAGGGCATTTAAGATAGCTGACACACAATCACCCGTTCCTTCATATGAATTAAAATTGCACTGAATTCAGCTCTGCACCAGGCCCCGTGCTCTGCTGCCCTTTGTTTCAGCAAACACTGGAATCTGTTGTTCCTCCCCTTCTACCCGCTCTGATGCGGTCAAGGTCCAGAGAGCTGAGTAGTTGGCAAGCGGACGACCAACAGCAGACGACACCTTCCCTCGGCTCTCTCTGGAGCTGCGCTGCCCCACTGAATGAATGGAGGTCTCCGAGGCTGCCCTGTCTCTCTTCGTCCTCATCCTCCTCATTACTTCTGCTTCTTGCAGCCAGCCAAGTGAGTCCACTTGTCTCTGAAGCGCAGGAACGAGAAAGGAGGATGGAGCAGCTGGCAGGGAGGTGGTGCCAGGGGCACTGTGGGGTCTCTGGCCTCATAAGCCCCCATTGGCTCTCACCACCTTCATGCATAGCTCCTGATCTCCAATTCTCCCCTTTGTCAGTACAGCTGGGGTTGGTCTGGATCCTTCTGGGGTAAGCAGTTCCAGGAAACTGGGTCGGCATTTCCTCAGGAGTCCCAAGCATGGCGAGCGGGAAAGATCATTCAGGGAAGAGGCCAAGAAAGCCCAGAAAATGCAACAAAAAGTGCATGCAATGAAAGGGAGGGGGAGGCACACGGATGAGAAAGAAAAGCAGCACGTGCCCTGGAAGAGAAAGGAAGGTTGAAACAATCGTGTGGGTCTAAGCCCAGGAACTGGGAGTCTGAACCGAGACACCCCTGCCTCAAAGTGGCTGGTGCAGGTTCCTGGGACTATCACACAATCAAAATGAGTCCCAGTGGAATGGCCAAGTGTGCTGTTTGGGAATCTATGGTCCCCTTCTCCATCCCCCAGCCTGTGATACATAAAATCTGCAGAAAAGAGGAAAGGGGTTGAAAGGTTTAGGAGCTGTGGGGAGAGGGAGAATTAGGGACTAGGGAGGATGGAGTGTGTTTTGCCCGTCCGTATCTTCTCTCGCTATCATTGTTTGTGAGGACCTGGTGACGGGGACAAACAAAGATGGGTGACGTAGATGGACAAAATGCCCCAGCCATTCTCTTCTCTCTTAATGTCACCCTGACACACAGTCTGGCCTGACTCTGCCTATGTAAACACCAAGGAGAAAGGGTCAAGTGCACCATGTTATCTGCCCACATACTCTGAGATGACCCTGGTCTTTGTAAACTTTGCTTTGAGAACCAGTGACATGAACATCTCTTATGGAGGGACTGTGTGGGAGGAGAAAGAGCACTCTTTGGGAGAGTCTATCAGGCCAGTGCAGTGGGTTCAGGCTTCAAGGAGGAGAAAATGGCCCACCCAAAGCATGGATCAGCAAGATGGCACTCTCAGGAGGTCCCAAGCTTTGCCACTCACTGGAGGCGAAGAGGTCAAGCTACAAAAAGATTTGCGCTCTGCAGGTGTGGGGGCTGCGGGAGATCTCTGGACTGACCTCTTGTGTAGTATCCCCAATTGATGGGTAGTCAGGACAGCTCAAATGAAATGCAGCCGCAATAACCAATCAATTCCAGTATCCTGCAGACATCAAGGGGGGGAGCCATTTCGAAGGCAAGAAGAGCAGTCATTACTACCATTGGTTTTAATCATCATAAGCACTGGTTGAGCCTCTCCGTGTGCCAGGCTCTGAGTTAAGGGCTTTCCAAGCATTTTCTCACCGAATTCTAACGATAATCCTAGGATATAACTATCACTTACCCCCACTTAATGGGTGAGGACGCTGAAACCTAGAAGATTAGGAAATTTGCCCATGATTCAAGTCAAATCAAATCAGAATTCCAACCCAAGCTGTCTGACCCCAAAGCCTAAATCATATACTTTTTTCCTCCAGCCTAACTTCTGTCTCCAACAGCTCTACTCTGTCACCCTTCCCCCGACCTCAGCCACTCCAGTGCCTCTAAGATAGAGTCCAAATTCCTCAGTCGCTCAGCATGTGTATGACCAGACCCCCTTCTCTCGCCAGTTTCATCTCTGCCCATTCCTTCCTTCTCACCTTGCATGCCAACAATCCCAAACCGTCCAGCACTCCCAAGACACACTGACCTTCCCCTACCCCAGGCTTTCCTGCATTTCCTTCTTCCAGATTTACAAGTCCTTTGTGTTTCTAAATCCTTTTTTTTTTTTTTTTTTTTTTTTTTTTGAGACGGTGTCTCGCTCTTTCACCCAGGCTAGGGTGCAGTGGTGCGATCTCGGCTCACTGCAACCTCTGCCTCCCAGGTTTAAGCGATTCTTCTGCCTCAGCCTCCTGAGTAGCTGGGATTACAGGCATGCGCCACTACATCTGGCTGATTTTCATATTTTTAGGAGAGACGGGGTTTCACCATTTTGGTTAGGCTGGTCTTGAACTTCTGACCTCAGGCGATCTGCCCACCTCGGCCTCCCAAAGTGCTGGGATTACAGGTGTGAGCCACCATGCCCAGCCGTATGTCTAAATCCTACACAATGTTTACAAATCAATGCGGGCATCACTTGCTTTGGGACTTCCTCAACCACCAAGGCTGGGTTAGGGGCCCCTCATTCTGTTCCCACAGCGCCTTATGCCAACGTCTGTTCTATCCTGGACAACATTCTCTGGTAGTCTTTGTTTAACTTTACACTTTCCCTTTTAACCCTGACTAGTTCTATAAGTTACTTAGGGTAGTGACTGTGTCTTCCTCATATTTTTACCCCCATAGGCCCCAGCATTTAACACAAGCTCAACACACGTTTGCCAGATCAAGTAACCAATAAACAAAAGAGTGAGGCAGCTTCCTCCCAGTTCCTTGGCAAGTGTAAACAACCAAGTCATTTGTAGTTGACGCTCATCTCATAGGCTGAGGGGTCTAAATGTATGTCCCTGAGAGGGATTCATCTTATGTACTTTCTCCATTACCCGTGAAGGTATCACTGGTCTCCTCTAACAGACGGCTCTGCTGTCAGAGGAGTGAAACACAAATGGTGGAAGACAGAGGCGGGCAGCTGTGGTCTCCCCTCTCTACTTCCCTGGCTCAGTTTGCAATGTGATTCCTTCAGAAGTTCCTCATGGCGTGAACACCCCACCCACCTGCTGCCTGAAGTATAACGAGAAAGTGTTGCCAAGGAGACTGGTGATTGCATACAAAAGAGCCTTCAACTGTTACCTGCCAGCAATCATGTAAGCACTTCCTTGTAGATATTTCTGTGGAGAGGGACAGAGAGCCCAGGGGCAGAAGTGAGATACATGGGAACAAGAGGTCTCCGTGCTAAAAGCAGTGGGATAGTGACTAAGGTCTCCGTGCTAGAAGCAGTGGGATAGTGGCTAAGGTCTCCAGGCTAGAAGCAGTGGTGTAGTGGCTAAGGGTTTGGCCTTTGGCTCTCAGGGGCCTGGGATTAATTCCTAATTTTGCCACTTATAGCTATGTGGTCCATTATGAAACCCAAGCTTGAGGGTCTAGGCTGAGTAGAGAAGAGACTTAGAGAAGGGATGATGAAGTTCTGAGGCCAGAGAGGGAGGCTGTCTGAGAGGACCCAGCCAGGGGAGGCCTAGGGAAGCTTTAAAGAACATAAGGTGAGCTCCATGGGAGCCAGAGGTGGGTGTGCACTGGGCTGCTGCTGATGCCTACAGCCCATGACAGCCTAATTCTGCCTCTGCAGCTTCGTCACCAAAAAGAACCGAGAAGTTTGCAGCAACCCCAACGATGACTGGGTCCAAGAGTACATCAAGGATCCCGACGTGCCTTTGCTGCCCTCCAGGAACTTGGCCACAGTTGACATAGTTACAGCGAAGAATGGCCAACCCAAGCTCCTCAACTCCCGGTGATGAGCAGGCCTTCGTGGAAGCCCTTGTACACGGAAGAGCGGGGTAATCCTATGAAAACAGGGGCAGCTTTATTAGGCTGAAACTAGCCAGTCACACTGAGAGAACAATGATCAAAATAAAGAAGTATCTCGAATATTTTCTCAATCTCAGGATGAAATACCAAAGTTAAGGGACGTGGACAGAGGTTATACTCGTGTGTGTGTGTGTGTGTGTGTGTGTGTGTGTGTGTATGTATGTATGTATATACACAGAGAGAGAGAGAGAGAGAGAGATAGGTCTCACTCTGTCACCCAGGCTGGAGTGCAGTGATGTGATCTTGGCTCACTTGATCTTGGCTAACTGTAACCTCCACCTCCTAGGCTCAAGTATTCCACCCACTTCAGCCCCCTGAATAGCTGGGACTACAGGCTTGCACCACCACACCTGGCTAATTTTTATAATTTTGGTAGAGATAGGATTCTACCATGGTGACCAGGCTGGTCTCAAACTCCTGTGCTCAAGCAATCCACCTGCCTCGGCCTCCCAAAAGTGTTGGGATTATAGGCATGAGCCACCATGTCCAACCCGTACACTCTTAATATATAGGAAAATATCTTTCACATCCTTCTCCTGCTCTTCTTTCAATTCCTCACTTCACACCAGTACACCAGCCATTCCAAATACGTGAAGACAAAACAAAATCCAGGTAATTAAGATTGAATGGTTAAGGGAAACAAATAAATGCTGTGAAGTGATCAAGGTGAAAACGGGCCAATCAACTGGACTCTGGTAAACTGACTCATAACTGCCCCCCAGTGGCCATGTTGTTAAAACCCAAGCTGCCTCCCACCCCAGCCCAAGCTCATCTACCCAGCAGTGGCCATCTCATCTAGCTGGCCAATCCGACTCTCGTAGAGATTTGAAATGTGGACCCAAGAAACTCAGTCTGGTTGCTGCTAGAGCAGAAGTGAGTTTCTGGCAGTGTCCCAAGGAAAGAGGTCTATGAACTTCTGTCCTGAGGTCCCTGGAACTGCCTCATTTCCTGCCCTAGCTCCAGCCTGGGGCTTCAGCTGCTCTTTCCATGAGATGCTCCAGCATCCTTCCTTTAAAAAAATTTTCTAGGCCAGGTGCAGTGGCTCACACCTGTAATCCCAGCACCTGGGGAGCCAACGCGGGTGGATCACTTGAGGCCAGGAGTTTGAGACCAGCCTGGACAACATGGCCCATCTCTACTAAAAATGCAAAAATTTGAGCATGGTGGTGCACGCCTGTAATCTCAACCACTCAGGTGGCTGAGGCACAAGAATCACTTGAATCCAGGAGGAAGAGGTTGCAGTGTGCTGAGATCATGCCACGGCACTCTAGCCTGGGCAACAGATCAAGACTCCATCTCCAATTAAAAAAAAAAAAAAAAAAAAAATCCTAAAGGGCCATGGTGGCAATTTAGCACCTCAGGAATAACTTAAACTGGTTTAGATCAGTTATTGGTGGGGGGTGGGGGTGTATGTGTGTTAAAATATACACAACAGGGGCTGGGCCCGGTGGCTCAAGCCTGTAATCACAGCACTTCCAGAGCCTGAGGAGAAAGAAGAAAAGGAAAAAGAGAATAAGAAGGAGGAGAAGAAGAGCGGGGCAGATCACTTGAGGTCAGGAATTCAAGAACAGCTTGGGCAACATGGCGAAACCCCATTTCTACAAAAAATAGAAAAATTAAAAAAAAAATTACCCAGGCATGGTGGCCTGTGCCTATGGTCCCAGCTGCTCAGGAGGCTGTGGCAAGAGGATCACTTATGCTGGGGAGGCAGAGGTTACAGTGAGCTGAGATCGTGCCACTGCACTCCAGCCTGCGTGACAAAGTGAGACCCTGTCTCAAAAAATATGTGTGTGTGTGTGTGTGTATGTGTGTGCCTGTGTGTGTGTGTGTGTGTGTGTGTGTGTGTGTGTACGTATACACACATTAACAGGGCCAGGCACAGTGGCTCATGCCTATAAACTCAGCACTTTGGGAGGCTGAGGCAGGAGGATCACTTGAGTCCAGGAGTTTGAGATCAGCCTGGGCAATATGGTGATATCTTATGTGTTTTTTTATCTCTACAAAAAATGAAACAAAAAACGATTAGCCAGGCATGGTGGTGTGTGCCTGTAGTCCTAGGTACTCAAGAGGCTGAGGTGGGAGGATTGCTTGAGCCCGGGAGGTTGAGGCTGCACTGCAGTGAGCTATAATATCACCACTGCACTCCAGGCTGGATGACTCTAAAAATATAAATATAAAATATATATTTATGTATATATAATTTATATATACATAAATATATATATAATTTACCATTTAAAAACTTTTTAAGTGTACAATCCAGTACCTTCATATTGTTATGCAAACATCGTCACTATCCATCTGTAGACTTTTTTCATTTTCTCAACCTGAGACTTTGTACCCATTAGATGCTAACTCACCATTCTCTCCTCCCCCAGCCTCTGGTACCCAGTATTCTTTTTTCTGTCACTATGAATTTGACAGTTCTAGGAATTTCACGTAAGTGGAATCACACAGCCTTTGTCCTTTTGCGACTGGCTTATTTCACTAGCATAGAGTTGTCAAGGTCCATGCAAGTTGTAACCTGTTTCAGAACGTCATTCCTATTAGTCATTAGGCTGACTAACATTCCACTGTCTGTATTTGCCACATTTTGTTCATCCAGCTGTCTACAGATGGACATGTGGGTATCTCTGTTTTCTTGCTAGCCAGGGTTCGCAGATCTTGGCTTCTGTTACTTGCACCAAAAGCACCTGAACTTGGACAACAACCCATCAGTCACCTGGGCAGGGCCTCAGAGGAGCCCCACGTGCTTGCTGCCCTTGCTCCTCCACAGGGGCCAGTGCTACCTGCTTTGGTCTCTCCCTAGACTGTGAGTCCCTGCTCCTTGATCCAGGAATTTCTCTCTACTCTCCTTGCTATCAGGAGTTACAGCTAAATATGATCAAAATCCTTTCTCCAGGAGCTCCCAGCCTAAGGATGACAGAATCACTAGCATACAATGTAGTCAGGCCCAGGCCTTTGCTTGCAGAGGCCGAAGCCGACATGTGGTGGGAGTGGCAGGGCCTAGGTTGACAGAAGTCAGGACAACATCAGATGTAGCAAAAAGTTTCAAAGTCCTTAGCCAGCACGAGGGTCACAGCCAGGGAATCAGAGCTCAAAGGCCTAAAAAAACCGGACCAGGCTGAAAACACGAAGCTCCTGGGTTCTGGAACAAAATGTCATTGTCTTGTGTTTTGTTTCATTTTTAAATTCAGGAGGGCTGACGTGCAGGTCTGAAAACTTGACTAATTGAGATTCTATATACACAAAGTCAAATCCCCATGCCAGCACATAAGAAGAAGCTTGCCAGAAACTCCTGATGGTTCAGAACTGGAAGAACTTTTCTCACATGCATTCATTTGTTTTTTTCTTTTTCTTTCTTTCTTTCTTTCTTTTTTTTTTTTTTTTTTGAGATGGAGTCTCGCTCTGTCGCCCAGGCTGGAGTGCGGTGGCGCGATCTCTGCTGACTGCAACCTCCGCCTCCGGGGTTCAAGAGATTCTCCTGCCTCAGCCTCCCGAGTAGCTGGGACTGCAGGTGCCCAACACCACACCCAACTAATTTTTTATATTTTCAGTAGAGACGGGGTTTCACTGTGTTAGTCAGGATGGTCTCGATCTCTTGACCATGTGATCTGCCTGCCTCAGCCTCCCAAAGTGCTGAGATTACAGATGTGAGCCACTGCACCTGACCCAGTTGTTTTTCAGGAAGGGTATTCCTAGTCTTTTCAAGGTAGGTAGATAGATAGCTGACCTGAAACACACACACGAGTACAGAAAGGACTTCGGTCATTCTGATATACAGAGTTTTCCAGCCCTGGTCATCCTAAAGCGAATAAACCTATTATCTAACAGCTTGTATGACCGACCATCTGCCTTGTAGAATGCAGGTGGCTGGGTGCCTGGGGGAATCAACTGGAACCAGAAGGGAAGAAAGTAACGGAACAACGCAGGGTAGTACAAAGAGCATTTTACTGGGAGTCACAGAGGATGGATTGCATGTCCTCTTTCTACACAGCCGTCTTAGACACCATGAGGCCTTGAACCAGATGACTAGAGGTCCTGTAACTGGTTTCAGCAGGCCCGTTTGAAATGTTATTAGGCCTTCCGGCCGTTCACTGTGACTCACGCCTGTGGTCGCAGCACTTTGGGAGACCGAGGTGGGTGGATCACAAGGTCAGGAGATGGAGACCAGCCTGGTCAACATGGTGAAACCTCGTCTCTACTAAAATATAAAAAAAAATGTGCTGGGTGTGGTGGCAAGCACCTGGGGTCCCAGCGACTTGGGAGGCCAACGAAGGGAAATCACCTGAACCCAGGCAAGGGAGATTGCAGCGAGCCGAGATCGCACCACCGCACTCCAGCTTAGTGACAGAGCAAGACTCCGCCTCAAAAAAAAAAAAAAAAAAAGAAATATTATTATGCCTTCTGAGATGGGTTACATGAGCACATTTTTTCTTCCCATGAGAGCATATATGTGCTTGCACGTATGAGAGCAACTATTGAGGGTCATCAGCAGCCTGAGCTGCAATGGTTTAAAAGCACGGTCTCCACGCCAGGTGCAACAGCGCATGCCTATAGTCCCAGTGACTCAGGAGGCTGAGGAAGGAGGATCACGAGCCCAGGAGTTCAAGGTTACAGTGTGCCATGACTGCGCCTGTGAATAGCCACTGTCCTCCAGCCTGGGCGACACAGCAAGACCTTATATCTTTTATTTATTTATTTATTTATTTTTTTTAAAAAAGCTTTATCTCCAAACTCAAACTCTGACCAACCATCTGTGTTTGAGTCCCAACTCTGTCACTCACTGTGAGGTCTTGGGTAACTACAAATCCTCCTAAGCCTTGGTTTCCTCATCTGTAAAACAGATCAATAATAATACTCACCTAGCGTTGAGAGGATGACGAGGCAATGTGAGAGGGTGCTTAGCAGATAAGGCTAATAAGAATAAGGCTCAATAGGCCTTATTGTTCCAGTTTCTGACTTTTCTTTAGGGCCACAGAACCTAAGACAGGGAAGGAGCTTCCTCTCATTGCGAAGATGAGGGAATTAAAGCCCAGAGATGAAAAGCCTTAGCGAAGGTCATGCTACAAATCGCCAGCAGAAATGCCACTCGAACCGGAGGCTGTACTTTAAACAGAAGAAACCTCTAATCTATACAAGCTAAGGCTGGTATGCCTATGTGAAAGATGGAGGTCATCCGACCAAAGCAGCAATAGTTCAAAGCCTGAGGCCTCCTTTTTGCATGACCTGCTCTCCCTGGAGACCCTGGCCTCCATTCAGGTATCTTCTGATTCCCACCAAGAGAGAGTTAGAAGGATTGGGCAAACTGCAGAAAGGGACCTCAAATCTCTCCAGAGCCTGCTATTTATTAGCAATAGCCTTAACCTTTCTGAGCCCAGTTTCTTCTTCTGCAAAATGGAGCTGCTACCCTACAGGCCTGCGGTGACAACCACCAGCTTCAGGTACAGGAACAAACATCATAATAAAATGGAAAACAGTATTAATATCTTAGCAGCCAAAGCAGGAATTCCTAGCATAGAGGAAATAACCTTTGTTGAGAAAATGCATGAGTGACCTGATGAAGGAAGGACACTCTCCCAGGACATGTGGCTGACACTTCAGAGGAAGGGCTGAAGTTGTTCCAAGCAAATCAGGAGGAACAGCTTTGCCCTTGAGAGCCAGAGGGGAGGGAGACAGAGTTGCTGGAGAAAGGAATAGAAGCTGTGCAATGAGCAGCGGAACTGCCTTCCTCCCTGGAGTCCTTAAAAGTGCCATCAATTATTTTGCCTCTTAGCTGGGCACAGTGGCTCACGCTTATAATCCCAGCACTTTGGGAGGCCGTGGCGGGAGGATCGCCTGAGGTCAGGAGTTCGAGACCAGCCTGGCCAACATGGTGAAACCCCGTCTCTACTAAAAATACAAAAATTAGCTGGGCATGGTGGCGCATGCCTGTAATTCCAGCTACTCGGGAGGCTGAGGCAGGAGAATCACTTGAACCCAAGAGGTGGAGGTTGCAGCAAGCTGAGATCGCGCCACTGAACTCCAGCCTGGCCGACAGAGTAAGACTCTGTCTCAGAGGGGAAAAAAAAAAAAAAAATGGAGCTGGAAACACCAGCAATGACAGGTTACTAGGAGAATTACACTGGTTAATATAGGTAACGTACCTAGTATTAGGCCTGCCTCACAGCAGAGATTTAGTACTTATGCGTTCCCTTCCCAGAGAAACCCTGCTTGTGTCCTGCAAGTTCTTGCTGGAAGAAGCAAGACAGAGTCAAGTGACACTTCTCGGCTCCCACAACTACAACACAAAAGAAGCTGCTGGGAAAGGAATCATGTCATGAGCAAAAGAATCAAGAAATCATTTGAATCAAGAAAGTTATTTCCACCCTTAGCACACACTCAGAACTTCCCCCTGCATTATGACTACAAAAGGAGTGTTCTTGCACAGACCATATGCCGGAGGTTTCTCATCTGAGCCACAGAGCACAGATGCCCGACCTGTCAAGGCTGTCTCAATTCTCCTGTGGATGATACATAACCGGCAGCACTCTGGATGCATAGGAGGGAGGTTAATCCGTTACATCTACTGCTTATCTTAAGCCAGTTCAAAACGCCTGTCTCAGAGGGCAGAGGCCACTTCTAACTTACCCTGCTCCCATCCAGGGCCCTTTGCAGCTTAGTTGGGGGCTCACTAAATGTCTAATCATGAATTTCACACAAAGGCATGGGGGTGGGGGTTGAAGTCAGTGTGATGGGGCCCCCTGGCTGTGAGTGAGGGGGCTCAGTGCAGGGATGTGTCGCCTCTGAGATGGCAGTTTAAGCTGCGTCCTGGAACATGGATTTAGGTCCTGGAGTTCTGGTTTGAGTTGCTGGAAAGCAAGTGTTGTCCTGACTTATTTTAGGAAAATTAGTGAGCAGTGCCACCCAGCGGTTAAAAGCAACAATGACTAATCTCTCTGTGTGCTCACACGGCCGGCTCCAGGTTGCTGAGATAAAGCTCCTTGTGGTGCCCACACCTTCCACCTTCCCACCTCTCCTTGTCATCGCCCCTTTCAAAGGGAGGTGAGGCATTCAGTACACACGGAGAGCACAGGAGATGAACATCCTACTTTCAAAGAGCTTTCCTTCCCACTAAATGTGGGAGGAGGGACCATGCACAGACATACATATCATCAGATTCCATCACGAAAAATAGAGCAAAGAGTGATGGCAAGGAGTACACAAAACACCCTGCTGCTGTTTGATAGGACCTACCAAGGAGAACAATTTTCCTTGGGAGGCCAAGGTGGATGGATCATGTGAGGTCAGGAGTTCGAGACCAACCTGACCAACATGGTGAAACCACGTCTCTAGTTTAAAATACAAAAATGAGCTGGGCGTGGCAGTGGCGCCTGTAATCCCAACTACTTGGGAGGCTGAGAATCACTTGAACCCGGGAGGCAGAGGTTGCAGTGAACCGAGATCGTGCCACTGCACTCCAGCCTGGGCAACAGAGCGAGACTCTGTCTCAAAAAAAAAAAAAAAAAAAAAAAAAAGCACAATTTTAATAACAATTTGACTAAACTTCATATTAAATTTGTCGTCTAGTCTGTGCTTCCGGCATGGGGAACTGAGCGCCTCACACTACCTAACAAATTGACCATTCTGCGAGTCAAAGCCATCAACTCAGGACAAAAATTTAAACTATAACTGAGAATGTGGACGACTAAACAAAAGTAGACAGATGTGGGAATAAACACTGAAAACTGGAACCAGCAACAGGCATTCAGGGAGTCTATTTTTTCGTGGCCTTGGCCTAAGGAAATGGCAGTTGCTGTGGTGGATGCCATAGGGTTAACTAAAACTAACTGAAAGTTTGTGGGCTGGGCACCGTGGCTCATATCTGAAATCCCAGCACTTTGGAAGACCAAGTCAGGGAGATCACGTGAGGTCAGGGGTTTGTGACCAGCCTGGGAAACGTGGTAAAACCCCATCTAAAACTACAAAAATTAGCCAGGTGTGGTGTCTCTACTAAAAATACAGAAATTACCTGGGCATGGTGGTGCATGCCTATAATCCCAGCTACCCAGAAGGCTGAGGCATGAGAATCGTTTGAACCTGAGAGGCAGAGGTTGCAGTGAGCTGAGATCGCACCATTATACTCCAGCCTGGGTGACAGAGGGAAACTCCGTCTCAAAAAAAATAAAAGAAAAGTAAAGAAATTACCATTACCTGACTTTCCTCCACCTACAAGAGTTAGTCCTGTGTAGCAAATAGTTGTACACAGATAGTTTGCATTTTTATCTAGAAATAACTTTTTCATTTTCCAGCATTCTCAATGAAAATTCTTTGACTGGATTACATAAGAACTCATTTGAATGCCTACTGTCCCTCCAGGATTTGTACGTTAGTTAGTTAATGATATATATGAGTTTTTAGTCATATTATCTTTAAAATGAATCAGGGGTTCAAATGAGATAATCTCTAAGATTTCTTTCAGCATTAAGTTCTGCAATTCTGTAAGTTTGCATAGAGTCTCCGCCCATGTCTAGCATTAACTACCTCCTATGCATTTTGAATTTTAAATCATACAGACAAAATACAGACCGAAAACAATTTCACATGGTAATGTGATCTGAGCAGTGATTGACACCCATATGAACCTTGTTTTATAAGTGTTCCCATACCATCTTCTTATATTCAGTCCACAACCAGTAGATCACATCTAATCTGTGGTCTATTTTTAAATAGCCCATTAAGTTAAGAATGGCATTTACATTTTTGAAGGACTGTGATAGAAAAAGAAACAAAAAGAAATATGCAACAGAGACCATATGTGGCCCAAAAGCCTAAAATATTTACTATCTGACCTTCCCTAAAAAAGATTTGAAAAGATTGATGGTAACCCCTTGGCTTCAGAGTAGCCTGTCTTTGCAAGGAAATGAAGAATTTAGTCCAACACTAACGCTACAGAAAAGGACTCAGGGTCCATAGTAAGTGGAATGTAATACACAAGCTCTCCAGTCATTTCTCGACTCCGTTTTTAACATCTCACCCAACCGTTTCCCCTGAATCCAATTAAATGTGTGTCATACTTTTATTCTTATGCTTTACTTTTTCTTGGACTTTTCTTGGACATGTTTTTCCTTCTACTTCTTGTAACTTTTTGAGTTGAATGCTCAGTTCATTTATTTTGTTTTGTTTATTGGTAGAAGTTTCTCCCAGACTTCCTTGGTGACTATTGATGTTGGGATATTGTGGCCTTCACAGACAGGGGACAGGTTGTCAGGTCACCATTTCACAGATGGTTGACTCGATGCTGGCTCCTTTGGCTGCAAGTGACAGAAACCCAACTCAAACTTGTTCTGCGAGTAGGGACATTTATTGAATCTCAGAATTGAAGGAAGGGGAAGGGTGGGTTTGGGTCCCAGAAAGGGTGGACCCTGGGACTGGAACCCTGTCCAGACTCCACTCTCTCCCTCTTCACAGAGGCTTAGAGCCTCCGATGGGGCTGTGTCCTCTGGCCCTGCACACACGGGCTTCCTGTGAGAAGCTGAGCACCTCCACTAGCTTCCACTTAGAAATGCCCTGGCTGGCACACAAGCATTCCTATGCTTATGGGGGGTGACGGGGGCAGGGCCCTAGGACTGGCAGTCCCCACTAAAACCCCATGAGGGAAGGAGTTCCCCCAAAGGTGGTACTGTTCCCAGAAAGGAAGGGAACAGCCAGCGCTCTCCGCCCTGTCCCACCCGACCATTTTCCTCACAGACGTCACCTGTCATCCCAGACCCGGCTGGTATTTCTGCCTGACTCTTGACCAATTTGCATAGGCTAAAGCCAGTGTATTTCCAAGAGATGGATGACGTCACAGAACTGGGGTTCCAGAAGGCTGGGGTGGCCCAGCGCTCCTTCCTTCTTTAGAACATGAAAAGCTTGGCTAATCACATAAAGTTGGGTTGGGCTGAAGCATAGGTGGTGAGGAAAAGGAGGCTCCTACTGCAGACGGTCTTGTGCTGCCATCCTCCCAGAAATCCCCAGGCCAGCTGGAACCCAGGGTCAGCGAGGGATGGGAGAAGGGTAAGCTGTGGAAGGGGTAGGAACATACCTTCTGGAACCACTGTCCTCCTTGAGAGGACCCTGAAAGGGGGGTTAATGGGCGGGGATGGAGCTTCCTACTTCCTGAAGCTCAGTGGCATCTATCTCTGAGGGGCCCTGTTGAGTATGTGTGGGGTAGGTTGTTGTTTGTCTGAAATTCTAATCTAACAGGGCATCTTGTAAATTTTACTTGCTAAATCTGTCAGCTCTGGGGGTAGAAGAATGGGAGTAGCAAAAGAATGGCTCCAAGCTCAGGCTGGTGTGGAATGAGTCTTGGATAGAACAAGAGACTGAAGCAGCCTGGTTGTCTGGGTTAAATACCAAGGTTCATGGTCTCACGTTGAGACAGAGGTCGCAGACACACACACACAGAGTGAGTTTGGAGCAGGCGTTTAATAGGCAAAAGGAAACAACAGCTCTCTGTCGTAGACAGGGTCCCCGAGTGGGTTCCCAGGTGGTAGTAAAAAATGTCAGGGTTTTGCTGGGTGCAGTGGCTCACGCTTGTAATCCCAGCACTTTGAGAGGCTGAGGCAGGCGGATCACAAGGTCAGGAGTTGGAGACCAGCCTGGCCAGCATGGTGAAACCCCGTCTCTACTAAAAATACAAAAATTAGTCAAGCATGGTCGAGCATGCCTGTAGTCCCAGCTACACTGGAGGCTGCGGTAGGAGAATCGCTTGACCTCAGGAGGCAGAGTTTGCAGTGAGCCGAGATCTTGCCACTGCACTCCAGCCTGGGCAACAGAGGGAGACTCCATCTCAAAAAAAAAAAAAAAAAAAAAAAAATGTCAGGGCTTTCTTTTTTTTTTTTTTTTTTTTTTTTGAGATATGGAGTTTCGCTCTTCTTACCCAGGCTGGAGTGCAATGGCGTGATCTTGGCTCACTGCAACCTCTACCTCCTGAGTTCAAGCAATTCTCCTGCCTCAGCCCCCTGAATAGCTGGGACTACAGGTGCGTGCCACCGTGCCCAGCTGATTTTTGTATTTTTAGTAGAGATGGGTTTCATTCACCTTGTTGACCAGGATGGTCTCGATCTCTTGACCTCGTGATCCACCCGCCTCGGCCTCCCAAAGTGCTGGGATTATAGGTGTGAGCCACAGCGCCCGGCCCCAGGGTTTTATAAATGGGCTAGTGAGGGGGTAGTTCTTGAGGAAGGGACGTCTTACCCTCTTAGACCTGGACAGTTCAATTGGGACCAGGTGTGCTATCTGTACAGAGCAGAGTTTTTAATAGGCTCTCACCCCATTCCTGGACCACATAGGCCAACTTTTAGTCTGTGTCTCCTTGTCTTGCTTATCTGGGAGGGAGAGTTTCTGTGTCTGTTCACATACATCTTCTTGCAGCTGCAGGCACACCCCTCAAGTCTGCTTTTAGCTGCCCTATCTTAGTATGCTTAAAGAAAAAGGAATGTGGGGCTGGACACAGTGCCTCATGCCTGTAATCCCAGAACTTTGGGAGGCTGAGGTGGGCAGATCACCTGAGGTTGGGAGTTCGGGACCAGCCTGACCAATATGGTGAAACCCCATCTCTACTAAAAACGCAAAATTAGCTGGGTGTGGTGTTGGGCACCTGTCATCCCAGCTACGTGGGAGGCTGAGACAGGAGAATCACTTGAACCTGGGAGGCGGAGGTTACAGTGAGCCAGTTCACGCCATTGCACTCCAGCCTGGGCAACAGAGTGAGACTCCGATTCAGAAAAAAAAAAAAAAAAAAGAATAAAAAGGAATGTGCTTATTAAGTAAGGCCCACTGTTTTACCGGGCCCAGTGTATAAGCGTAAAGTTTGGTGATTACACAGGAGACTTCCCCCACATCCTTCTGTGCCTGAGCCGTCTTCTCTATTTTACTGTCTGCTCTTTCGGGCTGCTTGTTTTTAGAAGAAAGGCGATTTCCATGAACTGCATGAGGTTAGAAAGGGAGCTATCTTTGAGCTGGTTTTTGTTACAAGGAACGTTTTCTGCTGGGGACTCACTTTACCCTAACTGTCTACCTAAGTAATTTCTCTCTGCCTCCTATATCAAGACCAGAGAAGAAACAAGCCCACCAGGGTAGTCATCTTGTCCAAGCAGAAGCCACCAGACACTTGAAGGCGGTGGATGGAAGAACTCAGGCCTCTGCCCCATCAGCAACATGGACCTAGCTTAAGGGGAAAAACACACCTTCCCTCAGTGACAGAAACAGTCCCAGATTTTCAGATTTCATGAAAGTTTTTTGTTTTGTTTTGTTTTGAGACCAAGTCTCATTCTGTCACCTGGGCTGGACTGCAGTGGTGCGATCTCAGCTCACGGCAACCTCCACCTCCCAGGTGGAGGATACCGCATAAGCGATGTGTCCTCCTTGGGAATCACATCTGGAGGCACAGAATGTCCCTCAGTCCCTCACTGGAGATGTTAATTTCATTGCAATTGCAACGTCAAAATTCTGTCTGGTTATTCACTGTATACTGTTTTGTTTTTTCTTTTTTCTTTTTTCTTTTTTCTTTTTTTTTTGAGACGGAGTTTTGCTCGTTACCCAGGCTGGAGTGCAATGGCGCGATCTCGGCTCACCGCAACCTCCGCCTCCTGGGTTCACGCAATTCTCCTGCCTCAGCCTCCTGAGTAGCTGGGATTACAGACACGTGCCACCATGCTCAGCTAATTTTTTGTATTTTTAGTAGAGACGGGGTTTCACCATGCTGACCAGGATGGTCTCGATCTCTTGACCTCGTGATCCACCCGCCTCAGCCTCCCAAAGTGCTGGGATTACAGGCTTGAGCCACCGCGCCCAGCTGTTTTGTTTCTTCTTTCTGTGCAATTAACAAGCAATCTCTGGGGAGACCCTGTAAGATCATGGACATATCCAGTTCTTCAGCAGGCTTCCCACCTCCTCAGATTCAGCATGCAATTGTGATTCTTTCTCAAACTAATCTATGATGGTGGCAAAATGGTGATTAACTTTCAACTCCATGACTTCCTCCACAGTTATCAGTTAGCCTTTTATTGTCAGGAAGAGGCTCTGCTTCAGCTCCACACTTTGCGTCTTTTCATCGATGTATTATTACTATGGGCTCATGGATTCCTATTGCATTTAATGTATAATCTGTTACTGTCATCTATTTTGATGGTCTAATTGTCCCAGATTACCTTGGAAACCATTATGCAAGGCTTCTCAGACATGACACCAAAGTACACGCAACAAAAGGAAAAATAAATTGCACATCATCAAAATTTAAAACTTTGGGGCTTCAAAGAATACCGTCAAGAAAGTGAAAGGCAACCCACAGAATGGGAAAAATATCTGCCATATATTTGATGCTGGTCTAGTATCCAGAATAGATAAAGAACTCTTCCCACTCAGTAATAAAAAGACAACTCAATTTGAAATTTGGCAAAGGTACTGAATAGACATTTTCCCAAAGATATACAATGGCCAATAGGCACATAAAAAGATGATTAACATCCGTAGCCATCTGGAAAACGAAAATCAAAACCACAGGGGAATACCAGTTCATACACATTACAATACCTTTTGTCAAGAAGACAGATAATAACAAGTATTGGTGAGGATATAGAGAAATTGGAACCTTCGTACACTGCTAATGGGAATGCAAAATGGTGCAGCCACTTTAGAAATCTTGTAGGCCAAAAAAAAAAAAAAAAAAAAAAAAAAAAAGAAATCTTGCAGGCCTCAAAAGCTTCAGCCTAGGTTATCCCATGACCCAGCAATTCTTCTCCAAAGAAATAAAAACATATATCCACACAAAAACTAGTATGTGTATGTTTGTAGCAGCATTATTCATGATAGCCAAAAACAGAAACAACCCAAATGTCCATCAACTGATGAATGGATAAAGTGTGGTCTATTCACACAATGGAAAATTATTCAACCACAGAAAGGAATGAAGTATCATTATGTTCGCCAACCTGAATGAACCTTAAAAACATTATGCTAAGTGAACAAATCTAGATACAAAATGTCATATTTTATGTAACTCCATGCATATGAAATGTCCAGAATAGGCAAAGCCATAGAGACAGAAAATAGATTAGTGGTTGCCACAGGTTGGGAGGAGGGGGATGGGCGATGATTGCTAAATGGGTGCTGCGTTTTGTTTTGGATTGATGAAAATATTCTAAAATCAAGTGAGCTAGTAGTTGCTCAACTCTGCAAATACACTGAAAACCACTGAATTGTACACTTTGACTGAATTAATTATATGATACATGAATGATATATCAATAAAGCTTTTACCAAAAAATATTGTTCCAGATCTGGCAAATTGGTGCCCCTTTGAGCTAGCTCTTGGGTCCATTTGACATGCCTCGATCTATATTTTGAGCGACACTTTTTACACTTCATCTTAGCCAAAAGGCCGAGGAGCGATTGAGCACTTTTTAAATTTCTGGTACAAGATAATTCAGACATTTCTTTCTGCTCCAGCCTGGGAATCAGCCATATTTCCTAGAGTCCCGATTCCTTTTTGGGTAGAATGTGAACCAAGATCTGGGCATTATTTCATTTAATCATCACAACAACCCTTTTAGGTAGGTATTAGCCTATCTTCATTTTACAAATGAGGCCCAGAAAGGTTGAGTATGTTGCTCAAGGTCACATAGCAGGCCAGGATTTGAAAGCCCTTGCTGGGGCCCTTGCTGTTCAACACACAAACACGCACACACACAATGTGAAAGTGAAGGTATGTCTATAGCCAGCCCACCAAGAATTGTACCAGGCAGGGTATGCCCTTGGGAAAAATCATGTGTCATGTGTCTGGGAAAGTGGGATTGTGGGGAGATTAACACCCAGTGTCCTGGCTCTCCTTCTAAAAGTACATGCTCAGATACACACACACACACAAATGCTGGTGAAGATGGTCTTCAGTAATCTCTTTTGCCAGCCTCAATCCCCATCCTTATAGTCAAATACTACCCCATAGCTGGGTGCCCGTATAAGAGGACCTACAGATGAAATAAGATTGGTCAGGTGTGGTGGTTAATGCCTGTAAGCCCAGCAATTTGGGAGGCTGAGATGGGAAGACCACTTGAAGCCAGGAGTTCAAGACCAGCCTGGTCAACATAGTGAGACTCCCCATCTCTTAAAAAATAAAAAATAGCCAGGGGCAGTGGCTCACGCCTGTCATCCCAGCACTTTGGGAGGCCAAGGTGGGTGGATCACGAGGTCAAGAGATCGAGACCATCCTGGTCAACACGGTGAAACCCCGTCTCTACTAAAAATACAAAAAATTAGCTGGGCGTGGTGGCGCGTGCCTGTAATCCCAGCTACTCAGGAGGCTGAGGCAGGAGAATTGCCTAAACCCGGGAGACGGAGGTTTCGGTGAGCCGAGATCGCGCCATTGCACTCCAGCCTGGGTAACAAGAGCGAAACTCTGTCTCAAAAAATAAATAAATAAATAAAATTAAAAAAAAAAGAACAACAAAGAAAGATTGGCCTTGGTTTCTAAATGTTGAAGCTCAGAAGTGGGTATATGGAGGTTCGTGATACTATTCTCTCTCCTTTTGTAAATGTTTAATTTTCCATGATAAAAATAATCTATAAAATAATAAACAAGAGAAAAGAGATTGGAAACGCCAGGTTGGAGCAATGAGTGAGCAAGGAAATCTGGCTGCTGTCTCCAGATTCCCCAGCCTCTCAGAGAAGATCAGCAGAAAGTCTGCGAGACCCTAAGAACCGTCAGCCTTCAGCTGCATCTCCTCCCCTCCGACGATGACGAAGGTGCTACTCATCTACTTGGTCAGCAGCTTCCTTGCCCTAAATCAGGCCACCCTCATCAGTCGCTGTGACTTGGCCCAGGTGCTGCAGCAGGAGGACCTCGATGGGTTTGAGGGCTACTCCCTGAGTCACTGTGAGTGCCATCACCCCCACCCCTGCCATTTCTTCTCCTCTCCTATGTCCTACATAGCCAGCTTCTTTCTCTCCTGTTCATCTTTCAAAGCCAAGTTCTAAAAAGCAGCTCCCTTCAGGAAGCCTTTCCCAACACGCCGTAATCATTCAACAGTTATTATCTGAGCACTTACTATGTACCAAGAACTGTTTTAAATGCAGGAGATGTAGAGATAAACAAACTCTCTCCCCTCATAGTGTTCACATCCTAGGGGAATAGAGCAGCAACAAAAAAACACTCATAAAGAAAGTACTGCCTGGTGGTGATCAGTGCTATGAAAAAGCATACAGCAGGGTGAGCAATGGCGACACTGTTTAGATGAGGAAGTCAGGGAAGGCCTCTCTGAGGAAGTGACATTGGGCAGCATCAAATGAAATGAAGGACCTGGTCACTCAAATGTCTGTGGGAAGAACATTCCGGGCAGAGGGGACGACCGGTGCAAAGCCTTTATTCTCCTGCGTGGAAGGGATAGCTCCCTCTTGCCCAAGATTTCTGTGCACCTCTCTTGCAACGCTTTTGACCTTTTATCTTGCTTTGTGGGTTTTTTAGGTACATATTTTTATTCTTGTAATATAGACCCCTTGAAGGTAGCATCTGTGTTGGACCCAACTGAAATGGCCCTCATTAGGCTTTGCACAGTTCCTGGCACACAGTAGGTGCTCAGTAAGTGCAAGAAGCATGAATAGATGGACAGATGAGTGGTTGTACTGATGAGTGGGTGGATGGACCAAAGGATGAGAGGGGAAGTCAATGGAGGTTTCCAGACCTCTAGACCTATGTTGCCTCCCGGGCCTTGTTCCTTTTCTCTGAGTCCTTGCCTCCCTTTCTCCTCCATCTCCCTTCTCACTCAGCTTGGTCTCCTCTAAATCCTGACCGTCTTCTCCCTACTCGAAGGGCTGTGCCTGGCTTTTGTGGAAAGCAAGTTCAACATATCAAAGATAAATGAAAATGCAGATGGCAGCTTTGACTACGGCCTCTTCCAGATCAACAGCCACTACTGGTGCAACGATCATAAGAGTCACTCAGAAAACCTTTGCCACGTGGACTGTCAAGGTCTGGCCAGGGCCCCAGGGTGCGGGAGGTGAGAGAAGAGACCAGGCTCTGCTCACAGAACTTCTCTTCCCACCCACAGCCTGGGAATGGCCCAGAGATATGGTTCAAAAAAATCAAGGAATCCCTTTACTGAGCAGAGGGTTGGACTGGTCTCCCTAATGCCCATCCAGTTAGATTCTATAGAGTCCTTGAGGAGGATCCCGTGAGGCTCTGTACACAGCTGGTAGTAGCAGAACGGCTGCAGCAGCCAGTTTATTGAGGACGTATTATACACTAAGCGCTTTACACGCTTAGCTCATTTCATCCAACTTTCTTGCAGTAGAAATCATTTATGATCCCCATTGTACAAAACAGCAAACTAAGGCCCAAAAAGAGAACCAGCCCTGAATGCCAGACTGACAGCCTCACAGGTTCCTAACCATTCCAGAGCACCGTCTTTCGCCAATGCTCTGACCAAAGGCCACGTGCAAACTCCCTACCTCAGAGCTGATCCAGGAGGCTTGACAGGACCCATGACTCTGCCCCTCACCTCCACCTTCGCACACTGACTGATGTCCCTGGCTCCTCACCTGAAGACCCCTGCTCACTAGGCAGGACATACTCTATGGTGTTTTGGCATTTCTTCTCCCTAGAAGCCTCCCATAAACTTTGGGTTAGGAAGAACAGCAGTGAACAGGCCCAAATCTCAGGCCTCTTGCTCCTTCTGCCCACACCTCCTTTCACCTCCAACCTCTAGCAGCCATTGTAGGGACGTCTAAATGGGCCGCTGGGAGAGAAGCTTTGCCTCAGCGGGAAGCCCCTGGTTGGCATAGGCCTGTGCAGGGAGGGACAGCGTCTGGCTCCATCTTTGACACTGTTTTCTGTACCCTAACCGGTTTTCTCTTCCTCCCTTTCAGATCTGCTGAATCCCAACCTTCTCGCAGGCATCCACTGTGCAAAAAGGATTGTGTCCGGAGTAGGAGGGATGAACAACTGGTGAGGAGGCCACAGTGGGACTCAGTTATCGGGCAGAGCCCCACAAAGGAGGGCGTGACAGAGAAAAGGGCAGCAGGCAAGGACGTACAGGAACGCCCTTGCAGTGTCTAGAAAGATGAGGGATAGAGGACGGGCTTGGAAGTCTGAGTTAGAAGATGTGGGATCTGGTTCTTCTCTGATACTCTGTTAAAGAAAACTCTTCTGGCTGCAGTAACAGAAAACAACTTGGGCTAGCTGTGGGAAATTAGAAGGTCTGAGGACCAGGTGTCTCACTGAGGCCACTCAAGGGCTGCAGCTGGGCCTCAGGAAGAGCATGGAACCAGGGCTGGAAACCGTCAGCAAGCTCTTTGTGGCAGGTTTCAGCTTCTCTTGGTGCATTTGCTTCACTACGCTCTCTGCAGACTAACTTTCTCTGCTCCGCCATCTAAAGGGTGCTGCAAAGGTAGTGGGCAAAAGTCCTCTGCAACCACAGACTGGCTAGGCTCAGTCTCAGTCCAAGTTTCTGGAATAGAGAATCTGATTGGTTCCACTTGGACCACATGCTCCCACTTTGTCCAATCAACTGTAGGGATGGGAGGAGTTAAGCAATACAATTATGGCTGCCCCAAGGGCCCAGTGACCATAGTTGACAACATTTTTTATTTAAAATTCTGTGGCATGGCGCTGTGGCTTACACCTGTAATCCCAGCACTTTGGGAGGCTGAGGCACGTGGATCACAAGGTCAGGAGTTCGAGACAAGCCTGGCCAATATGGTGAAACCCTGTCTCTACTAATAATACAAAAATTAGCTGGGAGTGATGGCAGGTGCCATAGTCCCAGCTACTTGGGAGGCTGGGGCAGGAGAATTGCTTGAACCCGGGAGGCGGAGGTGGCAGTAAGCTGAGATTGCTTTCCAGCCCGGGCGACAGTACGACACTCCATTAAGAAAAAAAGTGGCGTTCATCAGCTGGGTAGACACCCACAAAGCTGTGAGCTCACCAACGATGCACATTCAGATAGTCACCTTTTTTGAGCTTCAAACTAGATATATAACACAAACGGCTGCCCCTACAGGCGACTGTGAGGCAGTCCCTAGTAGGAGTCAAATCCCTTGCATACTAAAAACACCGCAAAAAAGAATGGGCAATGATGATTATGCAGTCCTTTCTGGAGGGAGAATCAATGGTTGCATCTGGGGTTTTTTGTTTTTTTTTTTTAACAAGTAACTCTCAGCCCTGTAAAACAGTGCTCACCCCTTCAAGAAGAGATGAGGATTTAAAAATGTGGAGACAGCCGGGCACGGTGGCCCGCACCTCTAGTCCCAGCGCTTTGGGAGGCTGAGGCAGGCGGATCTCTAGGTCAAAAGATAGACACCATCCTGGCCAACAGAGTGAAACCCCGTCTCTACTAAAAATACAAAAATTAGCTGGGCGTGGTGGTGCGCGCCTGTAGTCCCAGCTACTTGGGAGGCTGAGGCAGGAGAATCTCTTGAACCCGGGAGACAGAGGTTGCAGTGAGCTGAGATCCTGCCATTGCACTCCAGCCTGGTGATAGAGGGAGATTCCGTCTCAAAAAAAAAAAAAAAAAAAAAAAAAAAAAAAAAAGTGGAAATGTTGATCCAGGGACACAGGCAAACACCAGAGATGAGCGTTTTACAGGATTCATCAGAGGGGCCAGTGGAGGACAGACCAGAGAGCTAGCAATGAAGGGGATTCTGGGCATTGCTCTACATGGGAGACTTACCAAGAACTGGGTCACGTAGGCGGAGGAGTTACTGAGCGTGAAGCAAGAACCATGTCTTTTTTCTCCACAGGGCAAAATGGAGGTTGCACTGTTCAGGCCGGCCACTCTCCTACTGGATGACAGGATGCCACCTGGGATGAAACAGCGTGAGGGTGCACCATGGAGTCATTCCAAGACTCCTGTCCTCACTCAGGGATTCTTCATTTCTTCTTCCTATTGCCTCAACTTCATGTCATTTTCTTCCCTTCCCATTTATAAGTAAAACTGACCACAGCCCCAAGAATAAACGGTTTTCTTGGCTTCCTCCTTGCTCCCATCTGGACCCAGTCCCCCGACTCCTGTCTGTCATTTGCAAACTAAGAAACACAATAAAGAAATTTCCATATTTTTTGAAATATTAAAGCACTCACTCTGCAAAGAATGTGCCAATTTTTCATTATGATACGAATATTTGAGTACCTAAGACTGCAGGAGTGTACTAGGTACCAGAAGGAAGATAAAACACAACTATTGTTCTTTAGGTGTTCATAATCTAGGTGGAGAAGCAGTGACATCCACGAACATTACAATAGATAATTAAAGGTATAATAAAATCCATAATTATCGCTTTGAAACAGTATCCGAATCCAAGTAATTTCTCCAAAGGACAATTATTTTTGAAGTAAAAGACAAAGCTCAGAAGTAGGCAATGGCTGAGGCCAAGAGTCTGGTATTGAGGTGGAGAAAGCAGCAATGGGATGGAGAAATAGTGGCAAATATCAATAACTTTGTGGTGCTTTCGGAGAATAGGATCTAGATGATTAAAAAAGGTTTCTCTGGATAGAATCTGGTTTGCCTGGAGGGTGCTGATGTGGAGTTGAACATGCTTAAAGAAAAGGCAAAGGCAGAAAAGGGACAGTTGAAGGAATGTCCTACACATAGCCACCATCAGTAGCGTCTGAACAAATTGGGGTTTTATCTTGGATCACTCATTTCTCTACCTCTGAGCCTTAACTTTTTCTACTATGAGAGGAGAGATTTGACTATTCAGTGGTTCCCAGGCTTTTGTATTTCGCAGGTCATAAAATGTAAAAAAATAATTAAACCTGAGATTTCTAATTTATTTTTTTTGAAACAGAGTCTCACTGCATAGCCCAGGCTGGAATGCCATGGCACAATCTTGGCTCACTACAACCTCCAAATCCCAGGCTCAAGCAGTTCTCCTGCCTTAGCCTCCCAAGTAGCTGGGACTACAAGTGTGTACCACCATACCTGGCTAATATTTTGTGTTTTTAGTAGACATGAAGTTTCACCATGTTGGTCAGGCTGGTCTCGAACTCCTGACCTCAAGCGATCCACCCACCTCAGCCTCCCAAAGCGCTGGGATTACAAGTGTGAGCCACCAGGCCCAGGCAAGATTTCTAATTTTTAATTTTAATGTCCATGTAAGAGCATTGAAGCAGCTATCCTCTATCAGCATATTTTCATAAAACAATTTTTAGTATCAACATTATAGGGAGATCATACTTGTAGAAGAATGGAGTAGAATCTATTTTATTTTATGAAATTATCAAAAACCTGATTTCATTTTCCATATTGTCCTCATTTTGCAGAACAGGGGCGAAAACTTTATCACAGTATGTGTCTGGGGATCACTATTCAGAAACCACAAGAGGCTTGTCCTGCAGGGTCTCTTCTAGCTCTGACACTCTAGGATTAAAATAAACAGCAGTAGGATCTGAAACTTCCTTTATAAAAATTACGATAAATCTGACCTAACTGACTCCATCTGGCTTTTAACCTCCAAGCTGCATTTGCTTATTCCTGGGCACAGGCAACCTAACTATGGGAGGAATTTTTACTGTTTAACTTTGAAACAAAGGTAATAGTCCTTTCCTGAAATAAACCACCTCCTTGCTTGGGAATCAGATCTCCTTTGTAAAACTAACGAATTAAGCACAAGATGAGAAAGTATGGCTCAGGAATTATGTAGCCAGAGGCCGCAAGATCCCTAACCTCCCCAGTTGCTACTATACTAACATTGCTATAGTCTCAGCAATGCACCAAGATGTAACAGTCTCCAGTTGTCTGAGATAACTCACGGAGTTCTTTGTCCTACCTCCAGGATGATTAAGGAGTGTGGACACAAAGGTGAGGTTAGAGCAAAAGTTTCATAAGCGAAATAAGAAAGCTCTCTGCCAGCAGAGAGTGGAGGCCGGAACGGGTGCTCCCTATGAGGCAGGGTCCAGGGTTTTCACGGACTGGAAGAGCGGATCAATGGCTTAGTCCACCAGCTGTCTAGGAGAACTCAACTTGGCCAGGAGCCTTGGCCCAAGACCAGTCAGGAGCTGAAATGATAGTTCTGAGAAGCTGTTTAGCTTGGCCCAGGACCTATCGGCAGAGGCTGAAATGATGATTCTAGAGGCTGGACTTACAGCCCAAAAAGGAGAATGCCACCAGAACTCACCAGGGTCCACTGTGCCCATGCCCAAAAAAGGAGAAACAATTTTGTCCTGGGAGCCTGCTAACTATACAAAGGACAAAGGCGCCTTATTCCTTTAATCCGAGTAAGCTGGAGATTTGCACAAGTTTTTATCCAAATGGGCCAGAGGTTTTTCCATCTGTACACCTGTGGGCATGTCTCCAGGCACAACACCCTATGCTAGTTCCCTTATTGGTGCCTGTAGCTTTAATTTTTTCCCAGGCTGCTTTTTATGTTACGTGTGGATGAGACACTGACCCTGAGGGCAGGGATCTCTCTGGGGACCCATCCCTTGATTTGTGTCCATGCTCCTTAAGGCAAGCTAACTCCTTACAACATTACTATTTGTAAAACCTAATACTGGTGTTCTAGGTATTTTTCAGACCCTTTATTCTGATGGACCAGTTGGCACCACTCAGACTGGCAAATTGGCTCGTTGGTCTTGTGGGCCCCAACCAGGAATTCACTCAGCACAAGAACACAAGCTCTGACTCACTATGATTTCATCCTTGACCCAACCAATCAGCATTTCCTATTCCCTAACCCCTTGACTGCCAAATTATCCTCAAAGAAACACCAGCTTCCAAATTTTCAGGGAGGCTAAGCTGAGTAATTATAAAACTCCAATCTTCTATTTAGCTGGTTCGATGCTTATGAAACTCTATTTCATAACACTGTTTCAGGAAATCAGCTTTTCTGGGCAGTGGGTATGATGAACGCACCAGGTGATTACACTGCACCACCACATAGCTGATGATGACGCCTACTCCTTCTCAGACACCATCAGATCCGATGTCGGTGCCCTATTTGGACCTATTCCTTGATTTTTTTTTTTTTTTTCATTAATCTCTCCTCATGACTCATACCTCCAAACTCGCACATCATCTAACCCCCACAAGTACACGATTCACCAGAATCACGTAGGACAAACAGGTAATTCTTTTTAGGGATTTCATGCTAGACTAATGGTTTAGTAATACTTTTTTTTTTTTTGACAGAGTTTCACTCTTCTTGCCCAGTGCAATGGCGTGATATCAGCTCATCGCAACCTCCGCCTCCCGGGTTCAAGCAATTCTCCTGCCTCAGCCCCCCGAGTAGCTGGGACTACAGGCATGAGCCACCACGCCCAGCTAATTTTCGTATTTTTAGTAGAGACAGGGTTTCTTCATATGGGTCAGGCTGGTCTTGAACTCCCCACCTCAGGTGATCTGCCTGCCTCGGCGTCCCAAAGTGCTAGGATTACAGAAGTGAGCCACCACCCCAGGCCGAGTGATACTTTATTTGCATAGTTAAGTCCAAATCTTGCATCTGCTGTGGCCATCTCCCACGCGCGCAGTCGGTGGTGCGCATGCTCAGTGCCCTAAACCCCTTCCGGAGTGAAGATCAGGCCGGCTGCTGTGAACTCGGCCCTACCTGTCCCTCCGGGCGGCTCATTTCGGGACGCCACCGTGAACGCGCACTGGCATGGAAGCCCGTTTCGGGACCGCGGGCGCGCGGCTGGCGGAGCCGAGCGGACTCAGAGGCCGGCCCCGGACCGGAAGGCAGCGGCGGCGACCCGACCGCCGGCCCCGCCCCTCACGCGCGCCTTTTTTTTTTTTTTTTTTTTTTTTTAAAGAACGCGCGGGCCTGCCTTGCGCAGGCGCAGTGCTTGGAGCGGGCGTTAGCCGCGCAGGCGCGGTGAAGGAAAGATGGCGGAGTTGGTACCTTTTGCGGTTCCCAGCGAGGGCGACAGAACCTTGCTGGTGTGGGAGCTGAGCTCCGGACCCACGGCTGAGGCTTTGCGTGTGAACCGGGGCCGGGGAGGAGGGAGGGGATGGAGAAAGCCGCCCACCCGCGGACCGGGAGTTCGAGTCCTGCCCCAGCGCCTCACCTGCCTCAGCCTCCGCTGAAGGATTCTTAATTCTAGCGGGGACCCCAACGGACGGCGAACTACCCCCAACAGATGTTTAGAGTCCCGGAGAGAGGCCGTTCCACCGCCGGCACGTTGGACCTGCTAGTGCTTCTTAAAGTGTAGGGTTTGGAGAGGAAACGTGTTCAGCGGGAAGCGTTTTGAGTCGCGCCCTTCGCGGGGAGGGGCGTGGGAACGAGGCGGGCGCGATGCGAGGTCTCCCCCGCCGCCTCGGCGGGCTCACCCCGCAGCGTTCCCTGTTCACAGCGTTTTCCCGCTTTGGCCTTCTGTATTCGGTCCGCGTCCTCCCAATCGCGGCGGCGGCTCAGCCTGGTTTCCCTGCCGTCCTGCAGTTTTCTTCGGCGAGCGCTGCCCGCAGAGCCCGAAAGGCGTGCGACGGGAAGCGGCTTTTTCAGACGCCTCCTGCCAAGATGGGTCCAAACACGGGATTCCTCGCTCCGCTGGAAGGAACCGCCGAATTCAACACGAGGTTCGCGTTTGTCCAGCACCCTGGACAGTTCCAGCGGATAAAAGATGATTTTTCTCTCTATGAGAGAATATTTTCTGATACAACAACATCAGAAAAAGAGACACTTTTGAAGAATAGAGATGACAAGTACTGCTTCTTGGTTGACTATTGATTATATTCATTTCTGAAGAGAGCGTTCAGATTACTCGCGCCTACCTCGAGAACTAAATTCTCCCCACATAAAAATCTGCCCTAGTCTATTGTGCTCTCCGAGAAACCCTGTCTCTGCTAAAAATACCAAAACTTAGCCAGGTGTGATGGCTTGTGCCTATAATCCCAGCTATTCGGGAGGCTGAGGCAGGAGAATCACTTCCAGTTCTCTGGGTTTTTTAGATGAAGAAACTCAAATTCAAGAGGATTGAGTGACTTGTTTAAGGTTCCTGACAAGAGGCCGGACGTGGTGGCTCACCCCAGTAATTCCAGCACTTTGGGAGGCCAAGGCGGGCGAATCACGAGGTCAGGAGTTTGAGACCAGCCTGGTCAACATGGTGAAACCCCATCTCTACTAAAAATACAAGAAATTAGCCTCGCGTCGTGGCACACGCCTGTAATCCCAACTACTCGGGAGGCTGAGGCAGGAGAATTGCTTGAACCCAGGAGGCAGAGGTTGCAGTCAGCCTGGGCGACATGTTGAATGAGGCCCTGTCTCAAAAAAAAAAAAAGTGGGTTCCTGACAAGAATTATGGAAGCATGAGGCTGAACTCCAACCTACTGATGCTAAACCCCATGTCATTTTATGCTGTCCCTTTTTAAGAAATCTCAGCTTGGGCAACATAGTGAGACCCTATCTCTACAAAAAATTTAAAGATCAGGCTGGGCATAGTGGCTCATGCCTGTGTTTTCAGAGGCCAAGGCAGGTGGATCACTAGAGGCCAGTAGTTCGAGACCAGCCTGGGCAACACAGCAAAACTCCATCTGTACTAAAAATACAAAAACTAGCCGGGCATGGTGGCATGCACCTATAGTCCCAGCTACTCAGGAGGCTGAAGCATGCGAATCACTCGAAGCCAGGAGGTGGAGGCTGCAATGAGCTGAGATTGTGCCACTGCACTCCAGCCTGGGTGACAGAGTGAGACTCCATCTCAAAAAAAAGAGAAAGAAAAGTATCAGCCAGGTGTGATGGCATGCACCTATAGTCTCATCTACTTGGGAGACTGAGGTGGGAGGATCGCTTGAGCCCAGGAGTTTGAAGGTGCAGGGAGCTATGATGACATCATTGCACTCCAGCCTGGGCAACAGAGTGAAACCCTGTCTCTAAAAAAATGAGTGAATGAATGAAATCTTTGCCGGAAGAGTTCTGCTTATATTTACTTTTTAATTTTTTTAGAGACAGAGTATCCCTGTGTTGCCCATGCTGGACTCTAAATCCTGGCCTCAACCAGTCCTCCTGCCTCAGCTTCTTCAGTAGCTAGGTACAAGCCACCATGCCCAGCTATTTTTACTTTTTTTTTTTTTTTTTTTTTTTTTTTTTGAGATGGAGTTTCACTTTGTCGCCCAGGCTAGAGTGCAGTGGCATGATCTTGGCTCACTGCAACCTCTGCCTTCTGGGCTCAAGCGATTCTGCCTCAGCCTCCTGAGTAGCAGGGACTACAGGCACCTGACACCACACCTAGCTAATTTTTGTATATTAGTAGTCATGAGTTTTCACTATGTTGGCCAGGCTGGTCTCAAATTCCTGACCTCAAGTGATCTGTGTGCCTCAGCCTCCGGTGTGAGGCACCACACCCGGCCATATATATTTACTTTTATGTGCATTTAAAATGTGTAAGCATAACCACATCATCTGCCACCTATTACATAAAGGAGACTTTATCATCATCATCATGCTCACGATGACTCACAAACTGCTGATTTGGAACTCCCTTCAGTTCTCGGCGAATGAGAACATTCTTTAAACGGCATTGTAGAAACCCTATTCCATATGAACATGCCAACCAATTTTACTTTCTCAGATCCACAGAATGATATCTCATTGTATGCCTCAATTCAATCATCTTTCCCTTTTCAAGGACCGTTTCCATTCCTGATTGGCTACTTGATCTGACTGCTTCCTGCTAATCTTGCTGCCGTTTCTTGTCTATATTCCATTCCTCATTGAATTAATCTTGATCAAATCTGAGAACTCTACTTACTAATGACTCCAGGTATACTACCCCCACTTCTGTAGCCTGTTCAACACGCTCTTAGCCTGTTCAGCACCCTCTTCAATCCTGGTTCCACTTCCTGTAACTGAAATGATTACCTGTGAGATATTATTTAACTTTTGGACAATGATCTGTTTCTAACCTGTGACCATTTCACATAGCCACTCAGATATTTCAAAGGTATGGTAAAGAGTAAGAAACATTTACTTGGTATCATTTTGTAAGTTATGAGTTTCAAGTGCTCTTTGGACATTGAGACCGTTCCATAAGCTTTAGGTTTTGGGAATTTCACAGCATAAAGCCCATCACTTGATACAGTAATGAAGGGAATATTCTACAACTCAGTAGATAGGTGAGAGGAGAGGGCATTCATACTAGATTTATTTGTTTACTGGATTCAGAGCCTTGGGTTACTAATCGCCCCCAACTGTTAACTAGTTTAGGTGTTCTTTTCTACTTTTGCACATACACCTAGATCCTGTCTTTTTTGTCCTTTTTAAATACAGAAAAGACAATAATGTTTTAAAATAAAATCAAAGAAAGGCCTAATGCACTTGAGAGGGTTTTGTTTTTGTTTTTTGGGGTTTTGTTTTAGATGGAGTCTTGCCCTGTTGCTCACGCTAGAGTGCGGTGGCATGATCTCAGCTCACTGCAGCCTCTGCCTCCTGGATTTAAGTGATTCTCCTGCCTTAGCCTCCCAGGTAGCTGAGATTACAAGCGTGCACCACCATGCCCAGCTATTTTTTGTATTTTTGGTAGAGACGAGGGTTTCTCCATGTTGGCCAGGCTGATCTCAAACTCCTGACCTCAAGTGATCCACCCGCCTAGGGCTCCCAAAGTGCTGGGATTACTAAAGCCATGAACCACTGTGCCCAGCCGAAAGGTTTTTTTTTTTTTTTGCAGCGGGGGAAGGGGTGTGAAATGAAGGAAAATGGTTGCCAGCAAGAACTGTAGCAAGGTTATCCAAGGTGACAACTGTCTGTGCCACCCAGGGGCTCAGAGTTTTATGAAGCTTCCTGGTTGTCCAGAAAGTCTCCACTGTGACTTATGATACAGGCCGATCTCCCCATTAGCACTCAACATTTAAAAACTGGTCTTCATTTTTCTTTCCCAACAAGCATTTCTCCTTTTCAGTTGGAGAAAGTAATTTCCTTTTTACTTGCGCATTGTTTTATCCATTCACTCAATCAACAGATCATCTGTCCTCTATTATTTGCCAAGAACTGTGCTTGGTTCTGGGAGTGAAAAAAAGAATACGCTGTGGTTTCCTTTGGGACTTATGGGGCTTGTAAACCAGTGATGGAGGAAGGTACTTAAACAAATCAGTAAAGAATTAACTTTACTGTTAATTAACTTTACTGTTAATTCTTTACTAATTTCTAATACAAATGAATTTAACTTTATGGCCAGGCACGGTGGCTCACACGCGTAATCCCAGCACTTTGGGAGGCCGAGGCAGGGGGATCACGAAGTCAGGAGTTCAAGACCAGCCTGGCCAATATGGTAAAACCCCATCTCTACCAAAAATACAAAAAATTAGCAAATACAAATACAAAAATTCGCAGGGTGTGGTAGTGCCTGTAGTCCCAGCTACTCAGAAGGCTGAGGCAGAAGAATTGTTTGAACCCAGAAGGCAGAGGTTGCAGTGAGCCAAGATCGCACCACTGTACTGCAGCCTAGGCAACAGAGTGAGACTGTCTCAAAAATTAAATAAATAAATAAATTTGACTTTATTTGTATCATTTGAATTTCATGAATATAATATACTACACTTAAAAAATGAAATAGACATAATAAAGAACTGGTGATATAAAAAATCCATAGAAATGGGTAAAATATTTCAAGAATAACAGTAGATATTTGCATTCTCAAAGAAGCTTATAAATATAGATAAATCTAGTTGTTTTAGTTGCTTGTAAAATTTATAGAGCTATGTATAATTTCTCTTTAAATAGGGGTTAGCAACTTGGGGAGGGGGATGGGTGGTGGGTTCATCTTACCTATCCTTCAGATAATGTTCTCAAACAGGAACTACTGAATGGAAAGACTGAAACAATTTATTTTCTTTGTACACTTGGTATTGGTAAATCCCGATGTGTCCAAAGTAAAATCTCTAATGGGTTGTGATATTTATGAGTCTGTCTCTTATGACTTTAGGTTCGTCTTGGTACCAGACATAAGGCAGTTCAACATCAGGCCCTTCCCCTGAACAGCTCCCAATGCCAAGAACTGGCGAATTACTACTTTGGTTTCAATGGATGGTCAAAAAGGATCATCAAGGTGAACCTTGTAAATTTTCTTTCACTAAGCACACTCCCCTTTCAGCACTGAAATCCTTGACTTTAGACAGAAGTATGGAACTAGACTGTAGGGAGGAGATATAAGAGGCCTCTTAACATTGAGGATAAGTGGACATGTCTGAGTTGGCCTGTTGCCTAGAATTAATAATCTCTGTCACTTGAATGGTGGTATCCATAATTTTCTCCACTATTTATGTGGTCTGTCATAAAAAATGGGTGTCTGTATCTAGCAGTTCATTTGCCAACCTAACTTGATTTTGAAGCCGTAAGACACCTCAACTGTTAGCTTGAATGGCTGGAGTTTAGTTTTTATTTCTAATAACAAAACATTTTGAAGCCTACATTAAGATCCTAGGAAGGATCTTAGATTAAATATCCTTACAGCTGCAGGAGCTTTCTGACCTTGAAGAAAGGAAGAATGGAGATACCATGGTGCCATTTCCGAAGCAGAGCCTGAAGTTCTTCTGTGCTTTAGAGGTGGTGTTGCCATCCTATGATTGCAGGAGTCCTGGCACTGGCTTGGTGGAGGAGCCTGTGAATAAGATGGAGGAAGGTTTGTTTTCATTAGGGGTGGAGGTGGGTAGGGATTTGGAGTAGAAAGGATCTCTCTTTTTTCTTACTTTGCAAAACTTTTCTTTTCAGATACATATCAAACCCTTCCCTCTCTGAGCTACTGAAGTCCTGGACAGAGTTTTTCTGTTTTACAATATGGATTTTTACTGTAGCGATGCCTGATTGAACCTTTACATTTAAAATCATACGGCTGACTTCGTGCCAAGAGGCTTAGGAGGAAAAAGGAAGTAATGGTTTTTTTTTTTCAGCTTTTGGTTAAGAACTTGCTTTATGTTAAAATAGTCTTTCACCTTTTTTTTGTTTTTTGTTTTTTGAGACGGAGTCTCACTCTGCTGCCCAGGCTGGAGTGCAGTGGCGCTATCTCTGCTCACTGCAACTTCTGCCTCCCAGGTACTTGTGATTCTCCTGCCTCAGCCTCCCAAGTAACTGGGACTAGAGGTGCACACTGCCATACCTGGCTAATTTTTTATTTTAGTCGTGACAGGGTTTTACCATATTGCCCAGGCTGGTCTCAAACTCTTGAGCTCAGGCAGTGTACCCACCTTGGCCTCCCAAAGTGCTGGGATTACAGGCATGAGCCACCATGCCCAGCCAAATATGTGTCTCTTGTAACCTTCAGTTATCTTAGCAAAACCATCTAAAGATTTATTTATTTATTATTATTGTTACAAACAGGCTAGAGTGCAATAGCATGATCATAGATCACTGTAACCTCAAACTCCTGGGCTCAGGGGATCCTCCTCCCTCAGCCTTCTGAATAGCCAGGACTATAGGTGCGCACCACCACACCTGGCTAATTTTTTTTTTTTTTTTAAGAGCTGGTGTCTTGCTGTGTTGTCCCTCCTGAGCTTCAACTCCTGGCCTCAAGTGATCCTCTTGCCTGAGGATCCCAAATTGTTGGGGTTATAGGCATGAGCCATCATGCCAGGTCATCATCTAAAGATTTATATAAACTTTTATGTTAACATTCAGTTCTTTTTTTTACTCATAGGAGGGTTTCAGCAGAAAGAGTCTTAATATAGATACCTAGAAAGGGTACTCAATTGATATTAATGTTGAGTTTTTTTTCTAGTATTAATGGCCCTCAGGCTTAGGGTTTGAAGTCAGAAACAGGGCTGTAGGCTAATGGAGTGGAGTAGGCTCCCGGGGGTGATGGGTGATGCCCATGGAGGAGCCAGATTTATGTGTACCAAAGTTTTTTTTTTTTTTTGAAATGGAGTCTCACTCAATCACCCAGGCCGGAGTGCACTGGCATGATCTTGGCTCACTGCAACCTCCACCTCCCAGGTTCAAGCAATTCTCCTGCCTCAGCCTCCCAAGTAGCTGGGATTACAGTGCATACCACCACACCTGGCTATTTTGTTGTTGTGTTTTTAGTAGAGACAGGATTTCACAATGTTGTCTAGGCTGCTCTCAAACTTTTGACCTCAAGTGATCCACCCACCTCGGCCTCCCAAAGTGCTAAGATTACATGTGAGGCACCTGGCCCGGCCTCCTTTTTTTTTTCTTTTGAGACAGCCTCACTCTCTCGCCCAGGCTGGAGTGCAGTGGCATGATCTCAGTTCACTGTAACCTCTGCCTCCTGGTTCAAGCTATTCTTGTACCTCAGACTCCCAAGTAGCTGGGATTACAGGTCTGTGCCACCATACCTGACTAATTTTTGTAGCAATGAGGTTTCATCATGTTGGCCAGGCTGTTCTTGAACTCCTGGCCTCAAGTTTCACCATGTTGGTCAGGCTATTTTTGAACTCCTGGCCTCTACCTGCATAGGCCTCCCAAAGTGCTGGCATTACAGGCGTGGGCTACCATGTCCAGCCAACCAAATCTTTTTCGATGAGTGGTTCCAGCACTTGATGCATAGGAGGGTAGGGTCTGTAGGAGTGTAGCCTTGATCAATTTGAAATCTCTGGGTATTGTGAGACATGTGCCAGGTTCTTAGCTCCTATCTCCCTTCTAGTACTTCAGGAACTTCCTAGCTAGATGGAGGCAGTAAAAATGGGCCCTGCCAGGACATACCTATAACAGCCATGCAACCCTACCCTTGGGCTGTCTGCCCGTAATCACAAAGATTATGAGCTAAGAATCGTGGATGCATTTTTATTTTTTAAACATATAGCAATTATTACTCAGATAAGCATTTTAAATCCATTTGTTTTGATTGGATTTAGGACCCTATCATTCCTTATGAAAAGGAAGACAGCCCAGAAGCTTGCTGTTCAGAAGGCTTTGTCAAACGCATTCCAGAAACTGTTGATTGTGGTTCTAGGTAAGACTCTCTTGTTCATCCTTGAAGTACTTCAGTTTCAGTGAGCAAATAAACTCATTTTGAGAAGTTAATTGGATAAAAATATTGATAACTAAAGCACTCCATAGTATGCTTTCATTTGCTAAATTCTTCCACAGCAACAGGCTCAAATTTGTTCTTTGTGACATTTGTGAAAAAAAAAAAAAGACAGCAGTTATTGTTTCTAGTTTGCAGATGTGAAAGGACTTGCCTCAGTTCCCACAGAAAATGTTTAAACCAGGTCTTCTTTACTTGCTTGCCTATCATATAGAATAATGATTATAAGCTTTGGACACATAAATTTGAGTCCTAACTCTGTCTCTTAGATTTCTAATGCAATTTTAGGTCTTCTAGCCAGAGAGATTTGAAGACACTTAATATCTCTAAGCTTCGGTCTCTTCATCTACAAACCAGGGTTAGTAATTCAGTGAACCTTATGGGGGATACTGTAAGAGTAAATGAGATGATGAATGTAAAAACTCAGAACTACACTTACAAGGTAAGCAGACATATTAACTATTATTGTCGTTGTTGATTTCTTTCTGAATAAATAAACTCTCTGCTGAAGAGTTTATTAGATGATGTTTCCTGAATCAAGAATTCAGTTTCAGCTTTCATTTCTGGCACTGACACACGAGGCAAGTATGATTCTTACACAATAATCAGCTGCTTTGCCGTGAGCCTTGGAAGTGGTCATGCTATTGAATGGCATTGATCATATTCCCTATTGAGTTCTACACTGGCAAGAACGTTGTAGGCTGTGCCCAAAGGAAACCTGATGATTAGCAAAGAGTCCCTGAACAGAGTTGCTCTTCTGCTTCACAGCCCTGAAGGCTTAGAGACTGAGAGATCCTAATTAAGTTACCACAGAGCTTTATTTGCTTGTAAGAGGTGCTCCTGATTGTTCTCAGCTTTCCAACTTAAGCAACAGCCCTTCTAGTGAAAGTCTTACTTCCTTGGTTGTCAACTGTCAAGTCTGAGTAACAACCTTTAAGAACCAAACTAGATGTGTGGGTTGTTTACCTCTCCCTAGTATATGAAGGTGTCCCTTGCACACACTCAAAACTTCTTAGACCAAAAGCCTTACGACTCTCATTTGCCTTGAAGGAAGTTCTATTGTTTATAAGAGTATGTGGGCCAGTTTCTGCCAATAAAATATTGAAATATTCTCTCTCTCAGAAGCTTTGTTCATTGTATCTGGTGAAACTTTGGTTCTCAGGTAGTAGACACCTGGCCCTTGCTTCTAATGTGAAGTGTCTACTAGCGCAGTGGTCTCTATTCCAGATTTGAACTTACTTTAACCCCCACCTGATGCCTTACCATTTAATCATATTATAATTGAACATTTTTGTTTTCACATTTTTTTTTTTTTTTTTGAGACGGAGTTTCGCTCTTGTTACCCAGGCTGGAGTGCAATGGCGCGATCTCGGCTCACCGCAACCTCCGCCTCCTGGGTTCAAGCAATTCTCCTGCCTCAGCCTCCTGAGTAGCTGGGATTACAGGCACGTGCCACCATGCCCAGCTAATTTTTTGTATCTTTAGTAGAGACGGGGTTTCACCATGTTGACCAGGATGGTCTCGATCCCTTGACCTCGTGATCCACCCGCCTCGGCCTCCCAAAGTGCTGGGATTACAGGCTTGAGCCACCGCGCCTGGCTTGCGTTCACATTTTTTTTGCAACAATATGTTTCTCCATGAAGGCCTATTTGTTTCCACATTTTAAACTTTTTATGTCATTATTCCTTAGTTCCTATCTGTAAGATCATAAAGTTCTTTGAACCAAACACAGTTATTTCACACATATGTTAAAAACTGAGGTGTGAGGCCAGATGTGGGGACTCACACCTGTTACCTCAGCACGTTGGGAGGCCAAGGAAGGAAGATCACTTAAAGTCAGGAGTTCAAGACCAGCTTGGGCAACAAAGCAAGACCATGTCTCTAAAAAAAAAGAAAAATTATCCGGGCACAGTGGTGTGTGTACCTGTAGTCCCTGCTACTTTGGAGGCTGAGGCAGGAGGATCACTTAAGTGCAGGAATTCCAGGCTGCAGTGAGCTATGACAATGCCACTGCACTCCAGCCTGGGTGACAGAGACCCTGTCTCCAAAAAAAAAGGAAAGAGAAAAAACTGAAGTGTGAGATAAGGAAACTTCCAGGAAAATGCCCTTGTTTTCTGCTTTTAGAAACCAAAACAATGTCTCATCCTGGGGTGCTACCATTATATGCAGGAAGTTTTAAAATGAAAAAGATTCTGAATTGATCCTTGCTAACTTTATTTCAGAAAGTGGTAAAATAGCTGTGGAGTACAGACCCAGTGAAGAGATAGTGGATGTCAAAGGGGAAGAGGAGCTGCGTGGTTTAATTCAAGTATGTGGGATAAAAATTCAGGGGTAACATAGCCAGTGTAACCATAATTCAAAACAACCAGCAGAATTTGAAGGATAATTTGTTTTATTCTTAGGAAAATGTGATACTGCTTTTGAGTGCAGTGTATTTTGGGGGCTTTTCTTGAAGTCCCGACCCTTGGCTCTGACCCCTTATTTGAAGTCTGGACAGCAGAGCTGAGGACTATTAGAATATTACTATAGTTGTGGACACAGGAGAGGGGTTAGTCTCCCCCCAGGAGTTAGGATGCTGGGCTGCTTGAACACGGATCTTTTTAGAACTCCTTTCAAACAGGATCCTAGAGATACGAGGAGAAGGTTACTGGCCTTAAGAATGATTGTACTACAGCTTTTGAAAACTATAATGACTTTCAAATATGGCTTATCACCTGGATATCAATACCTCCCATATATCTTGGGTAGACTATTTTGCTGAAGATTTTCTGTAAATGAGTTACAATCATGTGCTGCAAAATGATGTTTTGGTCAACAACAGACCACATATATGATGGTGGTTCCTTAAGAGTATAATGGAGCTATCATCCCTATACAGCTATACCATTTTTTATCTTTTACAGTATTTTGACTATATCTTTTCCATGTTTACCTTCACAAATACCTGCCATCGTGTTACAATTGCCTTTGGTATTCAGTACAGTAACATATGATACAGTAACATACGGTACTAGGAGCCATAGGCCATACCATATAGCCTAGGTGTGCTGTAGGCTATACCACCTAGGTTTGTGGAATTACATACTATGATGTTAGCACAGTGGTGAAATCACCTAATGACACATTTCTCAAGCTCCTCCTCACATGGCAAGCAATGCATGACTGTATATGAAAGCTCTTAAATAGGGATTAAGTTTCTAAATTAATTTCTGAAAGAAAACAATGATTACTACATATGGAATGTTTTATTTCAGTGGGCACTTAATTTAGAGCTAGAGCGTTTTATTTAACTTTCACTCCAAAGTTGCAAAGTGTTTTGTTTTGAAGTTTTTCCCTGTAAAATAATTATTTTAATTCAATTTAAATAAAAACCATCAAGGAAGCTTCAAGCTTTAAGAAGTCTAGCTCTGTGAAATGTGAGAGGAAGTCAGCACTGATTTCAGAAATCTGGTTATAACAATAGATCCACCCCTAAATGAGGTGAGTCTTGGAATCCCTTCCATTGTAAAACCATTACTCTGCACCACATGCCTATGTTAGGCACTGGAATAAGATGAAGCACCTTCTTGGAGTTCACATGCTGGGGATTGTGCCAGACAATGAGTAATAAGATAGGTAAGAATGGATGTGGGGGAAGTCAGCTGGGTTCTAGTTATAGTCACATTTCAGGAAATAAATTATTTAACATGCTGATTTTAACAATCTAAGTGTTTTCTCCACGTGTGCACACAGGGTAGACCTCTGAAGAGTGGCACTGTAATTCTAGAGTAATGGCTGTGTTAAGTCAAGGCAGGATGACAGTTCAGCCTCCTCCCAGGCTAGTGCAAAGGGCTATTCAATCGGTTTAGCCTTCTCTCCCAGACTAAATTGCCCACCCCGCAAAGGCCCTCCTGCAGAAAATTTGGAGTCATCACTTATTCCCTGGCAGCCCCTACCTAATAGGGTGGTGAATTATCAAACATGCAACAAAGGATCTGGAAGATTTAGCAAAAATCGCAACATTTAGGAATGAATGACTATAATGTGTGGGCTGCCTGCCACCCTAACTGGTGCATATTTTGCAGGTCAGTTGCTCTCCCTGGAAGCAGTATGGCCAAGAGGAGAATGAGTATCTCTCGGATTTCAGCTTGGAGGAGGAAGAGTTTAGGCTGCCAGAACTTGACTAGCACTTCTGAATATCTCAAAGCAAGGTCCTGTAACTTCCTTGGGAAGCTCTGTCATGTCCCTACCCCACCCCAACACAACAGGCTGCTGGAGTCCTGGGACCACCAGGGTCTGCTGCCCAAATCATTCCTGATGAAAAGGAGGGAGGGGTGTTCTGGTGGGGCGGGAAGGGAGGCCTGGGTGGGATTGTGGGATAAGAGTGCTCTGGTGACTGTGAGGATCTAGACCAGAGCCTAATAACAGTTGCCTAAATAAAGATGTCAGAGCCTAATAACAGTTGCCTAAATAAAGATGTTGTAAATCATGGATGAGGTGGAGCACGCAGCTGCTAGGGGCGCCAGCTTCTAGGGGCTGCCATGATGACTGCCGCTCAGTGCAGGGAGCTAACATATGTCATGTTTCATCTGCCTCTCGGGGGCCCCATGGCCCCTCCTCACACAACAACTATTGTAGCTCCTAGCCCAGGAGACTCAGCCTCTGGAGTGGGTCCAGGGCCCACTCCAGCTGACCTCCAACCCCCTGAGGCCGACTGAGCCCTGATCTTCACGCTCCATCCATCTCCCACCAGAATTTCCCCAGCACTTATCTAGCCCTGCCCCCAACAGACTCAGGGGTCTTTGATAATATGGGGTCCTCTACTTCCTCCCAGATGTCAGCCTCACCTCAGGAACCTGACTGAGACTTTGGTTCCATTCCTGGACGTGGATTCAGCTGGAGAGCTGCCCCTGGGACCAGAGAAGTTCACAGCTGCACAGCAGGATCTAAATGACAAGCTGACTCAGCAAGAAAGGCTCCCAGAGTTGGCTCCAGTGGAACTTGCATCAGAACCAGATGCTCGCATGGCCTCTTTGCCTCAAAAGTAAGGTTCAAATTGTAGGTCTAGATCAGGCTTCAGATCACCAGGCATGTGAAATATTTGTTGCACCTCTAGATAATTTGTTGCACCTCTAGAATTCAAAGGCAGTAAAGACTAGTGTTTCGCCCAAGAACCTGAAGAAAGACCTGGCTCAGCACAGGAGGCTTGCTAAGTTTGTTGTTGGAACTCCACACCAATTTGTATTAAAACCTCAGCATCAGAAACAAACTTTGCAGGGCGAGTATTTAGATTCAAGTATGGATATACTGTATTCCGAAAGCCTGCCTCCAGAACTCCAGGTGAACTCAAGATGAGTCTCCAGGGCCCCCTGAGCAAGCTGGACTATTCGATTCCATCTAGAGCCCGAAACTCAAAATCCAGAGACCCTTGAACAGATCAGTCCTCTTCACTCAAGCAGAAAGCCCCAGTGCAATTTCCACAGCTCCCTGAAGCTTCTTCAACCCAGCAGGAGGCCCCAGCTCTACCTTTCATTCATAGTCCCTTGAGGGAATCCACTCTTCAACAGAGCAGGAGGCCCCAGCACAGCAGCTACCTACCTCTGAAGAGATTGTAGCTCAGCCATCAATACATCACCAGGTAAATATTTCATTAAAAAGTTGGAGTGAAGCTCAGCACTCACGTCACAGTCAAACCTGTGGATGTGGAGCTTACAATAACTCCAGAGCCAGGTAAGGGACTTATATCAAGCCAGGAACAGACCGCAGCTCAGCCTCCAGACCATCCCAAGGAGGTGAACTCTTCCTAAACCCAATTAAAGGCCCCAACTCATACACCAGACCACCTGGAGGAGATGAAACCTTCTGTAACCCAGCAAGGAAACCCAGTGAACCTCCAGTTCCTCTTGTGGAGGTTGAACCTTCTCCAAGGGAGCAGGAGCAGCCAGCTCAGCCTTCTGAGTTTCCAGGGGAGGTTGAACTTTCTCAGACTCAGCAGGGGGCCCCAGCTCAGCCTCCAGAGTCCTCTGTGGAGAATGCAGCTCAAACTCCACCAAATCATGAGATTACAGTTCAACCTCAGGGTAAGGATCAAGCTCATTTTAACTTGCCCAACTTTACAGGTAAACCTGCGGATGTAGAAATTACCATAACTTCAGAACCTAACAAGGAAGCAGAATCCTCTCAAGCCCAGCAGGAGGCCCTAACCCAGCCTCCAGAGGAGGGAGAACCTTCTGCAACCCAGAAGGAGACCCCAGCTGAGCTCTTATGTCCTCTTATGGAGGCTGAGCCTTCCCCCAGTGAGCAAGAGCAGCCAGCTCAACCTTCTGGGTTTTCTGGGGAGGCTGAACCTTCTTAGACCCAGCAGGAGACCCCAGCTGAGCCTCCAGAGTCCTCTATGGAGAGTGTAGCTCAAACCCCACTGAATCATGAGGTGACAATTCAAACTCCAGGTGAGGATCAGTCTCATTATAACTTTCCGAATGTTACAGTTAAACCTGTGGATATGGAGATTATCATAATGTCAGAGCCTATTAAGGAGGCAGAATCTTGTCAAGCCCAGCAGGAGGCCCCAACCCAACCTCCAGAACAGGTGGAACCCTTTGCAACCCAGGAGGAAACCCCAGCTATACTTTCAGGTCGTCTTGCGGAGGCTTAAGGCTTTCCCCGGTGAGCAATTGCAGCTAGCTCAGACTTCCGAGTCTCTTGGGGAGGTTGAATCTTCTCCAGCCCAGCAGGAGACTCCAGCTCAGCCTCAAGAACATCATGAAGTAATAGTTTGACCTCCAGGTCACCATCAAGCTCAGTGTTCAGATTTGCCCAATGTCACTGTTAAGCCTCCAGTTACATAGCTCATCATAGCAGCAGAGTCTATGGCAGAAGTGGGAATTTCTCTAATCCACCTGGAGGCTACAGCTCAGCTCTCATGGCCAGTTAATGTGTGGAGCTTCCACCATCCAGCATGGGGGCGCACCTCTGCCTCCAGAGTCATCGGAGCAGGCTAGACCTCTTTGCCAGTTCAATGGGAGATGTCAGTTCAATCTCCAGAACCTATGAAGAAGGAGAACCCCTCTCCACACCAGTAGTAGGCTACAGCTGAGCATCCACAGACCCCTGAAGAGGTTGTCTTCTCTAACCCAGCAATAGGCCCCAGCTCAGCCTTCAGAGTTCCCTAATTGGAAACTGCCAAACCGCAGGAGAATACCCTGGCAAAGATTCAAAGTGTAGACAAAAAAGTGGGAGAGCAGAGCATCAGGAAGGAACAGAGTGCCCAGGGACTGGGATCAGAACTGGGTCTTAGCTCGGCCTATTTGCCTCAGATGTGAGGTTCAAACTATAGATCTAAAGTTTGAGTTTGAGCCGCATATCATCAGGCATATGAAATACTTGTTCCACTTCTAGACAGTCTGAATTCAAAAGCAATGAAGATTAGTGTTTTGCCCAAGAACCTGAAGAAAGATCTGGCTCAGCACAGGAGTCTTGCTAATGTTGTTGGGACTCCACACCAATTTGTATCAAAAGTTCAGCATCAGAAACAAACTTTGCAGGATGAATATTTAGATTCAAGTATGGATACATCATATCCAGGCAGCCTGCCTCCAGAACTCCAGGTGAACTCAGATGAGCCTCCAAGGCCCCTGGAGCAAGTCGGGCCTTCTCAATTACCGTCTAAAGCCTAAAACTAAAAATCCACAGACACCCAAAGAGATCCAGTCCTTTTCATTCCAGCAAGAAGTCCTAGCACAGCTTCCACAGCTCCCTGAGGAGGTAGAACCTTCTTCAACCCAGCAAGAAGGGCCCAGCTCTGCCTTCACAGTCCCTTAAGGAGCTCTACTCTTCACCAGAGCAGGAGGCCCCAGCACAGCAGCTACCTGCTTCTGAAGAGATTGTAGCTCAGCCATCAATACATCATCAGGTAAATGTTGCATTAAAAAGTTGCAGTGAGGCCAGGTGCAGTGGCTCACACCTGTAATCCCAGCACTTTGAGAGGCCGAGGCGGGTGGATCACCTGAAGTCAGGAGTTCGAGACTAGCCTGACCAACATGGTGAAACCCTGTTTCTACTGAAAATACAAAAATTGTCAGGGCATGGTGGTGGATGCCTGTAATACCAGCTACTCAGGATGCTGAGGAAGGAGAACCGCTTGAACCTGGAAGGTGAAAGTTGTGATGAGCCAAGATCGTGCCATTGCACTCCAGCCTCGGGGCCAGAGTGAGACTCCATCTCAAACAAAAAAAAAATTGGAGTGAAGCTCAACACTCACACTTGCCCAATGTCAAAGTCAAACGTGGATGTGGAGCTTAAAATAACTCCAGCCGGGCGCGGTGGCTCACGCCTATAGGCTGGGTCAACATGGTGAAACCCCGTCTCTACTAAAAATACAAAAAAATTAGCTGGGCATGGTGGCGTGTGCCTGTAATCCCAGCTACTCAGGAGGCTGAGGCAGGAGAATCGCCTGAACCCAGGAGGCGGAGGTTGCGGTGAGCCGGGATCGCGCCATTGCACTCCAGCCTGGGTAACAAGAGCGAAACTCCGTCTCAAAAAAAAAAAATAAATAAATAACTCCAAAGCCAGGTAAGGAACTTACATCAAGCCAGGAACAAGCCACAACTCAGCCTCCAGAGTACCCCAAGGAGTGGACTCTTCCTCAACCCCATTAGAGGGCCCAACTCGGACACCAGAGCACCCTGAGGAGATGAGATCTTATACAACCCAGCAAAGGACCTGAGCTGAGCCTCCAAGTCCTCTTGTGGAGGCTGAACCTTCTCAAAGTGAGCAGGAAGAGCCAATTTAGCCTTCTGAGTTTCATGGTTAGGTTGAACCTTCTCAGACTCAGCAGGAGGCCACAGCTGATCCTCCAAAGTCCTCTATGGAGAGTGCAGCTCAAACTCCACTGAATCATGAGGTGACAGTTAACTCAGGGGGAGGATCAAGCAAGCTCATTATAACTTGCCCAAAATTATAGTTATTAACCTGTGCATGTAGAGATTAGCATAACTTTCGAGCCTACCAAGGACACTTAATTTTCTCCAGCCCAGCATGAAGCTCTAGCCTAGCCTCCAAAGGAGGTAAAACCTTCTGCAACACAAGAGGAGGCCACAGCTGAGTCTCCAGGTCCTCCTGTGAAGACTGAACCTTTTTCCTGGGAGCAGGAACAGCCAGGTCTACCTTCCGAGTCTTCTGGGGAAGT